CGCTGTCCCATCTCCACACAAGATCTCTGGAGCACAGTCAGAGTGACCATCAGATTCTGGTCACCTCTCTTACTAAGGTCTTTCTCCTCCAATTGCTTAGTTGGACCAGGTGACCAGCTCTTGGAAGAGTCCAGGTTGTATCAAACTTCTTCCATTTGAGAATTATGGAGGCCTTCAGTGCAGCAGAAATTTCATTATAGCCTTCCCCAGATCGTGTCTTGCAATAATCCTGAGCTCTGCAGGCAGTTCCTTTGACCTCGTGACTTTTGCTCTGCTACAGTATGCATTGTCAGCTGTGAGACCTTCTATAGCAGGCATGTCAAACTCATGATGTCATGTGACATCGCGCAACATATTGCAACTTTTTCCCCATTGCCGGCAATGGGGTGGGTGCAGTTTTGGCATGATTCATCCCGCCCACGGGTCAGCAGTTTGACATGCCTGTTCTATAGAGAGGTATGTGCCTTTCCAAATCATGTCAAATTAATTTAATTTACCACAGATGGACTCCAAGATGTAGAAACATGTCAGCAATCATCAAGAGTAATGGGAGGTACCTGAGTTAAATTTCAAGTGTTGTTGCAAAGGGTCTGAATACTTATGCCAATATGATATTTCAGTGTTTTCTGTAATAAATTTATAGACATTTCTAAAATTCTGTTTTCACTTTATCATTATGGGATACAGAGTGTAGATTAATGAGAAAATAATGAATTTCAACAAGTGTAGAATCAGGATGCAGCATAATACAATTGACAAAAGGGGGTCTGAATACTTTCTGAATGCACTGTGTACTGTATATTAGGCTATTAGAAAGGTTTATACTTCTCTGTTATACTATGATTGTTAAACAACTGAATGGCAGATTGGTCAGCCACATTTTAGCTTAATGTGTTATGCAAAGCCCATCTATGGAATTAATAATTTGCTCCAATTTTTGTGTGTGTGTGTGTCTTCAAAACAGTGTTCACTTCTGGCGAGTGCCTGGAGTAGTCCATGCAGTTATCTTGCCAAGATTTCTGAAGTGGTTTGCTATTGCCTCTTTCCTAGGACTGACTAGCCCAAGGTCTCCCAGCTAGCTTCGTGCCTGAGATACGACTAGAACTCTCCAGTTTCTCATCAGATACATTAACCACTAGGCCAAACTGGATCCCCAAACTTGTATTATCATGATGAAATTAACTATAGATATAGTTAAATGTGCTCTGCAGAAAATTGCCTGCAATTTTGTCTTAGGAAATGAACAGGTGTAATACATTGGATGTTTGGTACTTGTCAATTAAAAGCCTACAAATAAGATGCACTGCTGCAGGAATAGTTAGATTTTCTGAATACTCTAACTCAGACATGTCAAACTCGCGATGTCATATGACGTCATGCAACGTATCAGGATGGTTTTGCCATTGCCGGCAATGGGGTGGGCATGGCTTCTGGATGATGCATCCGGCCCGTGGGCCGGCAGTTTGACACCCCTGCTAACTCATACACCAATAATCCTTGTTTAGTGACCACAACTGGGACTTGCAACTTAGACATTAAGCAAGGTAGTTGCTAAGTGAAACCATGACTCTGCTTAAATCTTACCTCAGCTTTCCTTTGCTTTATAGATCTGCAAAGGAAGTTAATGAGAGGACTGGTCACAAAGTTACTTTTTTTTAGCACTGTTGTAATTTCAAACAGACACTATATAAGGCATATACTAAACAAGGGTTAACAAATTGCTAGATGCCTGTTGGGGCTCTTACATCTGCAGAATTATTAGGTGGAAGCAGAACGGTAGAAATTTCTGTATTGTTTGGTTGCCATCAAGTAGTTATTTGCATTGTTGCAACCTAGACCTGGTAGCCCAATTGTTTATTTAAGGGGAGAAGTTTTTCCTCCATAATCATCAACAAAAAATTCAGATTAAAAAGAAAAAAAATTAAGTTGATGTTTGACACATGGCACGTTTATAGTACCTAATATGGCTTTCCTTTGGAATGTTAGATGGCTGCAAGAAATTACTGGGTGAAGGTGCATTCTCCAAGATTGTGGGTTGGTTTCTGAACATTTTGTTACCAGGTTAGATAACATCTTCAGCAGTGTTTCTTCTGTTTATAAGGACTTCAGGTTTGGGTGTGTCAAGTGAGGTTCTTCGATGGATCTTGTGAAGGGTCAGGTGTGAGAGCCCCATCACAAGACCCATCATAGACCCTTACTTGACACCCCCACACCTGGTATGTTAGTGCTAACTGCAAGTCATATCATAAACTTCTTTTGACTTCTGGATTGCAAGTTTTTGAAAGTAGGGACAATGAGATCCTTAAAGTTGTTTTGGATACCCAGCTAACTGGACAGATATACACAATTGTGGGTGATGGATTTAGGGGAAGTGTGATACTGGAGAGCAGTGATAGTGATACAATGAGACAACAACATGCAAGAAAACAAAATCTCTGCTTCTCCTGCATTAAAATACTGTAGAATCAAACTGCAGTTTGAATAGTACTTATTTTCTTTATAATATGGTTTTCTGGTGAGATTAGAAACATACTTTTCCTTTAATTTTCTCTTTTTTTAATTACAAGTTTTAACAGCACCAGTTAAAAGATCTTACCACTGTATCATTTATATCTTCAATAAACCATTACGAAAAACACATCTATACCTTAAAAATTACTGTCTATTCCAAAAAAAAAAGAGTAAATGTCTTGTTCTACTAAATGTTCTTCCTAACTGGCTCAATCCATATGTGCTGAGCTACATTCAAAGCCATACTATGCACCCTATTAAATCTGTAGAGGTAGTAAAACAACCTCTTAACCTAACAATACCTTCAGAATCAGAAGATATAAATTGAGTAAAACCAGGAAAAACGAAGTGAAGCAAATATTTAGTTGACAATACAGCTGGTACACCATCAGTGCTTCTCAGGAGAAATAATAATACATGAACCTACATTCCCTTTGATATCACAAGCACAATGTTGGAAAGTTAGGCATTTGAACAGAATTTGCCAACTTGCTCAGTGCAGAAAAGGAAATTAAAGCATCCCAAGACAGGTAACTCTGCAATCTGTACTTGAACACTTCAGGTAAGAAGCAACTCAACACCTTTGTCACTTTGCTCTATTTGATAGGATTAAAAAATTAATTGGAATCTGACTTATGGTAATTTAAATTCTTCATTCCATGTTTTGCAATCTGACTTTCTTTTATGTAACTCCTTCAGAGTTTTGTAGTCTGCAGAACTTTAGCAAGAAAAGTACTTTAGATTCAGTAAGACAGTACCCCCTTCGCTTGCTAAAGCTGCCAATGCTGGATCCAAAATACCTTTCCAACTTTACAGCTCTTATTTTAGATATTTGAAGAATGTTATGATATATCCCTCTTCTAACATTTTCCAATTACTCATTCCAGTTTGTCTGCATCCTTTTAAAAGTGTGGGTTTCACACAATATTCAAGACGGCCTGACCAATGCAGAACAAAGTGCAACTATTATTATAGTTCTGTTGATATACTGTAGCTGTAACTACTGCATTAACTGCTGCATTAAACAGCATTAAATAGTCATAATCATACTGTCTCACATTCAGTTTATAATCAACTACTGTGCTTTTTTTAGATTTTTACTTTTTTAGATTTCATACAGTGATCATAAGGCAGGATGAATGGCAGGAAAAATGGTTGCTTTACTATGATGTGATTTCCAGAAGGGTTACAATTATCTTGTTCTTTGCTTTATTCTATGTTGCACTGTAAGTCCTATTTATTGACTATTTGCACAGTACATTATTCAGAGACTGGCATTCAATATCACAAAAACTCAATTTCTTCACAGTACTTCATCAGGACTTTCTTTCTGTGTAACAAATAGACCCTGTTTCATAATTATTATTTCAAGTATCATACCTATCAATTTGGCTATTTCCTTATTAACAATGTTCACGTTTGACTATATTCAATTTGTTGTTGTTTTCCCCAGTCTGTTTTTCTGAATTACTAAGATCTTTTCATATTTTGTTTATGTCTTCTAAGGTAGTAAGTATTCTCCTAAAATTTGTACTGGTGACAGATTTGAGAATCATCCTTGTTTCTTCACCCAAATTAATAAAAATGTTGATGTATACAGGATCTAGAGCTGAGCTGTGTGGCATCTACATAGTACTTTACTCTAATTGGATGATTGTAATCTTTATATCAGCTATATGTGACCTGTACTTTCTAATTTGCTAATTAGAATTCATGTCAAATGCTTTTTGGATATCATGGTTTACATATGCATTCCCACAATCTACTAAGCTCCCCAATAAAGTGATCACAATTAATTATGTGCCATCAAGTCATGGACTCTTAGAGACCACATAGATTTTCTCCATGACAATCTGTCCCTAATTTGGTCCTTGAACGTTGCACTCATTGCTACTGTAACTGAAATAGTCAAGACCTCATGCTGATATATATTAATTTAATGAACTACTTCCCCAAATGTTCCCATATATTAATGTTATATTGACTTGTTCATAATTTGTTAAATTCTCCTTTTCTATTTTTTGAAGAAAAGGACAATTAGCCTTCTCCAATAGTCTCAAAGATAATGTATAAATTATTTAACCAAACCATCATCAAATTCTTTCAGTACTCTAACATCCCATTCATTTTTCCTTAAAGATTTAAATACCTTAAATAAGTATCTCTTGACTATATTTCAAGCTGTCTCAACTTAATCATCCTGCCCCTTTATCCTACTTACAATTGTTTGGTGGAACACTGCTGAAGAAAATAACTTAAAATAGCTTTGACTCTTGGTATCTATTAGGTAAATATATAATTTAACTTAATGAACTTTGGAGAATAAAAACATTTAAAAATAAATAGACCTGTTCTTCTTCACATTAAATTACTCCCCATCCCCCATGCACACTTTTTAGAGTTGTAGCTTCTAAACATAATCTGGCTATTTAAAATATACAGATTAATATATTCTACTTAAAAAAGAAGAGACAGGTATCTACTGCAACTTGCTTTCCTGAGACAGTAAATTTTTGTTTTTCATTGAGTACATACGTTTATCAAAATATTTGCAAGACAATTCATTTTCAACAGCCATAAAGTCACAAAAGTGCGTTAACAGCTTTAAAGCAGTCCGAAAGTATTTTGGCCAACAGTCTTTCATTAAGGACGGATAGAAGAATGTAAGAATTCACTGCCAATAGAGCTGATGTTGTGAGAAGAGATCTTCCTAAGATATTTCTTAGAAATACAGTAATAGTTCAAAAATAGCAAAACATTGTTTAAAAGTAATGGAGCATAACAAGCAGAATGTACAGTAGAAACAACAATATTTAAAACAGCATTGCAAATGTATCTATTAGGGGCCAGTGAAAATTCTTTCCCCAACCATTTTACGGTGAGATAGACTAAATTAGGATCCCTTAGTTCAAAGAATCAAAGACATAATCAGACACAGTTTTGTTTGCAACCGTTCTTGTAGTAATCACCCATCCTTCAACAGGTAAAAACTATTTAAGGCTCTCATATAAGTCTTTTTGGTTAAAAGGCAATCTAATGCACATTAGAATGAAAGACAAACCTTAAAAGAGATCAATCATATAAAAACAAGGATTAGGTGCAATAGGAAAGAGTTGGAATTTTAACTAAACACATTTATGCAACGAAATGTTTCATGAGAACCTGCCCCTTTTTAATAAAAAAAAATTAAAGTACTGAAATTCACATATTGAAGCACCAAGATTATTATTTACATTTACAGAGTTTTCAAATGCAAATCAAAACATTTATTCTACTTTTTAAACACCCACTGTTAATTACAACTGGTTAAGATTGCAGACCGCTTTGAAAAACAAAATTACTGTATTTCTTGCTGTTATTGTTTAACTATCTTCATGACTTTCTTTTTTTTGATCAAGCTGCTTTATTTGGATAGCAGGTGTATTAAAAAAATGAAAGCATACTAAGAAACCAAATCCAATCACGCAAGACAATACAAATCTCTCTCTTTACAAAAAAATCTAATCATTTTTTTCTCCCTCTATGACTTTCAAGTTTATTCCAGATCTTATTAATTTAAAGCAAAATTTCATTTCAGACAATCTGTGGCTTTAAATATTTTCCATTGTACAAAGGGACTGGAATAAAAAGAGGCTGATCTAAATCAATAATAATTCTTGACCCTAATAAACATACAAAATTATTAAAATTAAAAACAATGCATTTAACAGAAGCGTGGTTTGCAAACTTAACATTCCAGTTAAGTTCTGAATTCATGTTAGTAAGATTCAGCCAGATATAAAATTTAGATACCAAAATCTGAAGAATAGAAAATGTTTCAACTCCAGTAATTGGAATATTTCAATAATTTAAGGTTGTAATAAATAAAATTGGTTGAATTTAATAACAGTTTTACCTCTTCCAAAAAGCAGTTCTGTTTGAGTGAGAGGATCAAAATAACATTAGTGATGTTAAGAAGTTAATTATATTTTGCACATTTAGTTATGGCTGTCTCCTTCTCATTCTGAAAGCTTGGTTTACCAAGAGCAGTGGACAAGTTCAACTTGTATCTTAGTGATATTCTAAAGCAAGAAGACTGAATCAGTGCAAAACTGAATTCATTATTTTTATTTATCTTTGATAGAAACAACTGAAAAACCATTTTTAGGCTTCAGAGCAAGTCAGCTTATAGTAAAAAAAAAGCAGTAATTGCACATGGATAAAACACAAAAAAAAATATTTAACAAGAAATGTCATTCCCCAATATTCTGGCTTAAAAGGTGACTATATTACATTGAATATGGCTTCATTTTATGGAATATTCCATCAATTCCAACTATAGTAATAAATAGTGGAATTATGGAACTCATGTAATCTCAAAACTGCCATTCTATTTTGTTTGCTTCAGACCAAGCTTTCCATTTATGTGATAGCCATTAGTGGTGATAATATTCACAGCACAAGGCTACGTGTCCCTATGCAAAAGGATCACAAAATTCTAAGGATTACTTCCAATTAAATGACTATTGGATTGAAATATGATTGTTGCTGAATCTTCAGAACTGTAGCATACAAAGCATGTTGCACCACAAAAAGTGATATTGTACTTGCAAAATTTTGCAGACCAGAACTTTTGGAAAAATAGATTTTCATTACTTTGAGGCCTGCTTTTAAAATAATCTTTAATGAAGCTGACTCTCAGAATAATGAGATAAGCCTGTAAACATAAGCTGTTCAGCAGAATTCACTTTTCTCACAGATTAATAAAATAAGATGGAAAATGCTATGTTATTCTGTTTCATTTCCAATAATCCATAAGGATGGTATTGTTTTTCAGAGTGTTCTTTTGCATGGTTTAAGTTCTGTATGGAGTGGCTCATTGGAAAAAAACCAACCCAAATAAAATCACAGAAGACATTGGAAACTAGTATAACTAACTTTGCTATTATTGTGCAGACATATTACTACTGTATATGTTTAACACCAATAATTGCTGGGACCAGGTTGAATGATTTCAATTTCTGTTGTGATAAATAAGCTGTCAAATATGACAATTAATTTGGATTTTAAGAAAATTATCAAATTTTTTACATTCTGTATTTTTACAGAAATTGCATATATTTCACTAAATATCATGACAACCCAATATTTGGACTGCATTTTAACATGCTCAAATTAAAATTCCAGGCCTTTTTTTTTTTTTTTTGAAAAGCGTAATAACACTATCAACACCCGAGATAAAAGCAAGGTCAGTTTATCTATGCTTAAATCATGTGATTCATGTTTTTTATGTTATATGTTTTGAAAATCTAGCAATAGAGCCGAATATATAATTTGGAAGTAAGTATAGAATAGCAATGGCTATCATTAAAAAGATATCCCAAGAAAATTGTTTACTCTGTCAAAGCATCATATTTGCTATGTCTGAATTATAAAGTAGGTTGCATAATGGGATCTTATAGCAAGTGTTTTTTTACTTAATGTTTTCCTTTTCTCTAAGTTTTCCCTGAAGGCAGATTCATTGGGGTTATTGAATAATGAACCAAATTCTCAAAGACCGTCAGCTAACTGAAATGCATTATTTTTTTTTATTGTCTTCCATTGGTTTTGTCTGTGTTTTTACTAAAAGAAGTACATCGTATCCCATTAAAGACTCCTTTCTTATAACAATCTGGACACAGTCAAGTAATGAAAGAGTTCTCCAATGTGATAAATCTGTCTATGCTTGAAATTGAGCTTTCTGAATTAATAGAGCAATTCTGGATTGTTAAAATGTCAACATTTAGGAGTGGAGATACATTGCATTATATCTGGAAACATGTTGGATGAAGTAAGGGTAAGATAGTATTATTCATACTTTTAAAAAAATACAAAAACTGGAAAGATAGCCTTCTTAGAAATTTTTAACAATTACAAAATTTCAGATAAAAATGTATTGGATAGAGTCCCTTTAATATAATATACATTTTAAATCGGGAAGCAAGTTTAAAATGGCAAATAATCCTTGACAATTTAGAAACAATCCACCAAGCCCTGTTGTGCACAACCACCATTCATTTGTGCAGACATTTGGAACAGAGTAACTTGAAATGAACAAATGATGCTCAGCAGCACTTAGCAGATTCTTCCCCAAACAGTCAAAAAGGTGGAATTCTTGGGCACGATTCACTGTTGCCCTGCAAGTATTTCCTCTTTAAAGAAATTGTGCAAACGGGCTCTTCAATGCTTCCAGAGATAAACATTATGTCTCACATTTCCAAAAGTTCACATGGCACCTTTGAGCACTAATTTTATAAACTAGAATTGTTGTTTACAATGAGAACTTACATCCAATCAATAAATTGCCATCAGTTAAATAGAGGCAGTAGAATTTCTTTCAATATCATGAGTAAAATTTTGAAAGCAATTGGTTTAGAAACTTAAATGTTAACAAATTATTTAAAAAAGACACATGTAGAATTCATCATACTTAAAAACACACATAATTGTGTTGGAACCACAGGACAAACCCAATTTTTAAAACAAATCAGAAGCCAAAACAATTCCCTTATTCTACAAATAACACTAACAGAAAGAGATGGAACAGTATAATTGTGAATTGAACAACTGAGGATCAGTTCAGATATCATGGCAAATTATGGATTAGCTCATTAGGAATATGTATTTTAAAACTTATTCTTTAGGAGACCAATCAGTGGCTAAATAGCCATCATTTGCTCAGCCCAGCCACTCATGCATACTAAATTAAATCAAGTGCAAAGGGTTTGAGACAGAATGTTCTGAAGGCCAAGCCATTTTGTTCATAGTGATCTCTGTACTGAGCCACCCTTTACTGAATCTTTTTGTTTACTTACTCAAGGAAGCAACTTCCTCTAGCCAGTCTTCATTTTTTGAAAACATTACAGTTCATAGGAAAGATTTACAAACCATGACCCATCTTTGCCTTGGTTTCTGATTGTGATTTAATTAGAAGGAATTAAAGAAGTCTTGGACCCTATAAAACTCTATATTATTAAAATTTCAAATCATACTGTATATAAATAATTATGGGTAGTGTGATTAAATGTTGAGATGAACAGCTCAGGACTGGCATGGAATTGCAAACATGATGCTAAGATGAGGTTAGGGTTTACATCTCCATATAAAATGTAAAAATCTTTGTTAATATCCAATAGCTTAGTTCTTGTAAGTATGGAGCACAAGGTTCTGGAGACAAATTTCTCCTTCCTTCATTAAAAAAGGTTATTTTTAATCAGCAGCGTACACATTCCGGTTGGTTTAGTTTGGCTTACAATTATGAATAAACATTCTGCTTCCATAGTCTTGATATCCTGCCACTTTGTTCCCATGGCAACTTCCTATTTGGTGAGTGCAGGATTAAACCATACAGGTTATCTTACATACTTAAAGTGCCAACACACCAAACAAGTGGGATCGGAGCAGCAGAAGGCAGCAGTATTAATTTGACAATGGTGGCAAAATATTAAACCACGGGTCCATATTCTGAATCATGAAGTCAAACATGCACGGCCTTTGCTAGAAGAGTTTGATACTCATGTAATCTAGCCACAGAATCTAATGCCCTAACATAAAAAAATTGTAGAAATCAATAATTTACAAAATTTGAAACATTATTGCTTCAGCAAACAATCCAATCTTGAAATACACTGCAGTTGTGTATGACCTGGGTATGACTCAACAAATATTAAAAGTAAAAATAGACATTGATTTTTGTTTACACTCACAGACATAATACTCCCAACACACAAGGGCTGCAAATAGATACATGGCAGCTTAGTGCCAACATTCTAAACCAGTTCTGAAAATTCAAAGCTTGCCTTAGATAACTCACCTAACTTATTTCAGCTATTTTTTGTTTTAAATTAAGGCAATGAAATGGCTACAGTTCCTAAAGTTCATTTTAGGGGAAACAAAAATATACACCTTTCTTCTTTCTGAACTTTAGGGCAGCAGCATATAATGTAAAAAGTTGTATTACACAAACATGCAACACCAGGTTGATGTAAAAAAAGCAAAACAAAAAATAACAACAACACTAAATCCAAGTTAAAAAATATCATTTGGTGGTTTCTTCTTCACTGGGTTACACAGTTTTCAGAGAGGAAAAATAAAGCTTGGAATTGTTTTACAGTTCTGTATGTGTCTAAATCACGCACCAAAAGGGCTTCTAGCAAAAAAAAAAAAAAAATATTATAGGACTTTGATTCATCACTACTTGAGGACTTCTGGGACAAGGCACTGATTCTTGGTTTGTTTGTTTTTTGTTTACTGTGCCCATGTCTGTATGCACTTGTGGAATTCTTTGAAACATTTCAGTTTTTCTGTTTATTCTGTACAACATAAAAGGTGTATGACAGATGATGACTAACACATATTAGCAGAAGCTGATTTTAGAGTTGACATCTCCTATTCCACTGCTCAAAACTTCCAGGCTCTGAAATTTTAGGTGGCTGCAAAAAACCCAGCAACAGGCATTTAAGATTAAGTCAGCTTTCAGCATTTTTCAGTGCATTTTGCAAAAAGGGTCTAAGTTAGGCATACAGTTCTGGTATTTATTTTACACAGAGAAGACCACCAACATTTGACATAAAGTCTTCTAAACTTTTGAGGAAGGCCATCTTCTGCTTACGGTCCAGCGTAGGTGGAGTGCTGCTTGCAGTAAGTTTGTTGAAAGCATCTGCTAACCGCTGGTAAATTATGGGATCTTGCTGACTTGACAGTAAAGTTTCAACTAATTCAGAATATTCTGCCTGTAAAGAAGATAATCACATTTATATTTCAGAAGAAAATGTTATTAATAAAAATTAACCCTGTGTAATTAATATCAAGCTTCCTATAGACTGGCTTGTTAACAGAATTACAATGTACGTATATTTCCAATTTTGGATGCTAGGAATATTTCTTTAAGGTTAAGAGATAGTGGCTTCCCTCAAGTCATCAAGCTAACTCTTTCTGACTGTAAGATTCAATTATACACTCTACTATCCCTAAACATTATGGAACATGCAGGAGATAATGACATCATAAAATACCATACCTGATGCAAACATACTAATGTATAAAATGCTTCTCCTGCTGCAGCTGTCATCTCTGTATTGTGCTTTTGCAGTACCAGCATATCAAAAACCATCTAAAATTTAAAAACAAAACTTTATATCCTGACTTTTTAAGGAAAAAATGTGTTAAGCTGAAAGTGACAACTACTTTGTAGAAGCCTATGTTTTAAGACGAGGACTAAAAATTAACTTTCAAATTATATACATAATCGTTTGTAACAATGTGTAAGAATCAAATAACAAAATGGATGGTAAATGGCTGAAGTAGAGACCCCTAATCTATCTGCTTAATTATGTTAAGAATTTTGAACTTCCTTACCAATATAGCTTACTCCCATGGGCACAAAGAATTTTCTGTTGGAAAAACTGGGTACTTTTTAATAATAGATTCCTTGGGCTTCTTAGTTACCAATAAGTTAAAACTTAAAAAAAAAGCAGGATTCATTTTACAAAAGCTGCCATCAAATGTGCTGTTAACCTGATTACTGGCTTGCATCCAAAAAGCTCCCAGGCAAGAGAAAGTGGTTTCCCATAAATAATATGACACAAGGTTCATTCTCAAGGCTTTCTGAAGGATCACTAAGGCTTATGCCCCTCAACCTCTATTTCCCATTTTGCAATATTGTATTCGCCAATTCAGCATTGTGCAAATAAACTGAGCTGAATTTCCCAGAATCCTCAGCAGCTACGTGAAACATCAGAGAAAGCTGCTAACACCAACGATATTACACAATGGTGTTATGCTGTGCTGAATCCAAGCCACCACAATATTAGACAATAGGATATGGAATGATGTCTCTTACCTTAAGAAAGTGTCTTGTTGCTAAAAAAAGGGATGACTCTGATTCCTGTGTTTTTGCACATTGTTCTGCTAATGGTGTCAGAGCTTCTAAGCAGAGCTGGCAAACATCTGAACTCATTCTGATTATTCAAAGTCAAGAAATATATTTAGTCCTTGGGGTGGGGGTATTTGGAAATTATACAGTATGTCAGGGAAACAGTAACAGAAGTTAAACACTGCCATTTTCCTATACATTATTTCAAGCTAAGATTACCACTAAGTGGCTGAAATTGGTTCCTCCTCCATTATTTCTCCCTAGAAACTGTTCTTATTGCATTTCTGTTTAAATCAAATGAAACTAAGGAAAGTAAAGCCGGAGAATAGGGCTGAATACATAATCAAGTGAAGAAGGCCGCCTTGTAGCAAATGAGTGAGAAACACAGAATATCTAAATATTTTTGCATTAAAATGTTATTGAACCTAGAAACTAGATAAGGAGAACAGATTCCATTCCTGAAAAATTGTAAAAGAGGTTTTATTCTTCCTAATATTTTAAATGCTAGAATACTCTAGCAACAGGCTTAAACAATCCGGTGCACATGTATCCTGGTTCTTACTGCTGATAGGATGGAAAAATTGCAATAAATGAATAACAGCTTCTCATTACAAGGATAAGTTACTTCAAGCAAAGAATATGCAGAACTTGATAAAAGATTATATTACAGAGCCGAGGTGGCGCAGCAGTTAGAGTGCAGTACTTTAGCTGACTGTGTTCAGCAGGTCAGCGGTTCAAATCTCACCGGCTCAAGATTGACTCAGCCTTCCATCCTTTCGAGGTAGGTAAAATGAGGACCCAGATTGTTGGGGGCAATGTAAATATATATATATATATACATTGCTTACTGGTGTACACCACTTAGAGAGTGCTTGCACTTAAAGCGGTATATAAGTCTCATAAATAAATAAATAAATAAACTCTCTGCCAAAATAAAATAAGAAATATGTTTATTCTCTCATATAGAATAACTTTGATAAACAAACACAATGCAAATGTTCAGGTAAATAATCAATAACTAAAATGGTTGACATTAAGGTATATACTTAAAAGTATATAACTCATATACAGTAATATAATAATTTAAAGAGAGGAAAAATAAGAGATCAATTGAATAACTCCTTTTCCTGCTCTCCAAAAGAAAATCTTAAAGGATACGATGTCATCCCCAATTCTAATGAATACATAAGGCTTTTAAACAAATCTTCTGGAAGCTGTGGAATTTTCTCAGGAAATATTTCACAAATAAAAGTAATTAGTTTGTAGTATTGATTACATAGTGATGGAAACTATGGAAGGAAAAAGTAAATAAATTTATGTTAATGAGGCTTCTTAAAATAAACAATTGTATTTCAAGAATACAAAGTAATATCATGCATTCTTAAATAATTATATTTCAAGAATACATATATCAGGTATTCAAAATCAAGGATTATTTTATATGTTTCACAATTTGCAATACATATATAGTCCTAGGTTTTTGAGGTCAACACAGAATTAAAGCTGACATATTTTTGTAATTCACGGCCCATTGTTGAAACCTTAGCTCACTTATTGTGATAAACTGTGGTGAATACATACACGCATGTTATTTCATAATGGTTTGCTAGGCTCCTCGGTTTCAACCCAGTATATTAACTGCTTTGTTACACTAATTCTCCAATACCAAGCTATTCCACAGATGGTACTATTCACACATTTAGACAGTACAAGATTTAAAAGGCTGTTTAAAGACAGGCATGAGCTTGGCTGAAGCTCTGCGTTAATGCCAGTGGCCATTTTCAGTCAGCCATGAGAGTTCTGGTAGTAGTAGAAAATGCATGCTCATATTTAAAGAAACAACACTATAATGATTAAAATTTTTAAAATAATGGTCAAAATTCCCCATCTCTTTCTGCAACACTACTGACACTGTACACACCTTTAACAAATCTTGAGACATTAAAGGCAGGATTAGGTTCACTCCATATAAGACAACATCTGCTGCTGATACAGATCTGTTTGTTGCCTGCCCGGGTTCATGTCCCCTAAACACTTCATCTAAAAATATGGGGAAGAAGGGAGAAATATAGGAATATAAGAACAAATTCAGCTATCTGTAAATATTTTCTGAAGCTTAGAATTTCATTCATTATTACTGAGCATGAAATCTGTTCATAAATTATTAATTAAAGTAATTGGAATACAGTGCTTGAATCCCAGTAAGGTGGTTCCAAACTTAATTTTGCCTTCCACAGTTGATCTTAAATTTTAAATTTTCCTTTAGAAAAATTAAACAGTACAATGAGGTCTATTACAAGCATTTGACTTCTGCATTTTCTGTATGCACTTCTTGGAACATACACATTTTTTTTAAAATTAGTAATGTAATGTTAAATTATATCTGCTTTTTTTCCTATTCTTTGGATTTTGAGATGAATGAAAAGATTAAAAAATCCATCAAGAAAAATAGGGAATCAATTTTAAGGTGAAAAAAAGTCTGACATTTAACAAAAAGATATTTTGTAATCTATTATAGCCAAAATTAATGTACCTCTAGACATACAATTATAAGATATATACTTACTCATTTCAAACTCTTCAACTTTAGATTTATCATGAGGCAGACCACTTTAATATACTTTAAAGTGATGATTCACTAATGATTTGCTTAACTTCTATTTAAACGTATCTTCTTATAGTTCAAAATGTACAAGGTAAAAACCCCAAACAGTAATCTTATTAGCCATAAAGATTTGGCTGATAAATTAATATAAAATTCTATGAAAAACTGTGCTTACAATAAATAATTATCTGCTTGGGGAATGATTTCATATATTATAAACAGACAAATACAGATTTACCAATATAGGTAGTCTTCAACCATCAACTGTCCTTCCTTCCTTCCTTCCTTCCTTCCTTCCTTCCTTCCTTCCTTCCTTCCTTCCTTCCTTCCTTCCTTCCTTTTATTTAAATGTATATGCTGCCCATCTTCCCAACAGGTTGGAAGTCATAATGGCCATTAAGTGCCCACATGATCACCTCATGACCTGCTCTTCCTGATGTGGTCATCAAATGAACAGGTCCTGCCTCAGGTCTTCCCCACTTTGAGGCATTCATACTCAACTTCCTGCTCCTCAGAATCCCGACAAACTGCCAGTTCTGCTTCCCAAGCCACTGGGCCCCACACCCCCCACCCTTGGGGAGATAGGTGGGGGGCCACTGTTAGATCCTTGTGGTCAGTTGTAAGGGTGAATGACTGCAGAAGTGCTGCAGCTGCTGTAATTTTGGAACCAAGTTGTAAGTAGCTTTTGGGGAGGATCTGTAAGTCATAAATCAAGAACTACCTGTATCTATACTCTATAATTAGTAATATTTATTAATGCCACTATGCAAATGTTTCAAAAACATTTGTATATATGCTACTTTTTAAAGAGATATTTGACTGCCTACATTTTTCAACTGGTTGTTTAAATTCTCCAATGTTAGTTTAAGCATTCCATAAAAAACAAACAATATCAAAATCAGGAAGGCAATAAAAGATTAGAAAAATTGAAAGCCGCTGAAGAACCAAATAGGAAAACATCAAAAACCATTTGAATGGATGCATCAGTGAACTGAGGTTTTAACTCTGAAGTTTAAGAGACCGAAAGTACCTAATCAATGAAGCTCTATTATTTGTTCATTATATATTGATGTCAAGACATAAAGAGCTCTTTAAGTTTCACCCGTTATTTTCAGTTGTAAATTTCCCCCTACCTGTATCACTGAAATCTATAAATTCTTTTGAAAGTAGGTTTGTGAGAAGCTCCATAATGAGAAGAAGATCCTGGTATTGGTCCTCTTCTGCTGTAACATCTATTCGTTGTCTACCTAAATTATTCTTGGAATATACTTGAAGTAGGGTCAGACAAGCTTCATATAAATTCATAGCTTTAGACTGAAAAAAAAATTGAAAAAGAAAAGAAGGCTTAATGAAAGATATACACTTGCTAGAATGTACTTATGATTCAGGCCTCAAAACCACTTCAGTTGCAACTGATACTAAGCGGAATATACTCCATCTATAGCTGTGGCACTCAGAGCCCTCTCTGTGGGCACGCGCGCCGTTGCCCCAGTCCTAGGCCTTCAGCTGGGTTTTATAAAACCTTTTCACTTTAGGCCTCCACCGCCGTGTGCAAAAAAAAAAAAAAAAAAAAGGTTCAATCAATCAATCAATTTCAACTTATTGCAGAGAAAAAAAGATCTTGCAAAGTTGGAATTGATTGATTTAACTTTTTAATCCTGCCCAGTCTACCATTACCACCGCAGCCACGCCCATCCAATTGACCACGCCCACCTAATTGGTCACACCCACCCAATGGACCACGCTCACCCGGCACCCGACAATACATAAGTGGGTTTGGGGTTGCAGTTTGGGTACTCGGTCTCTAAAAGGTTCGCCATCACTGATCTATAGCAAAGGTTTAAAACAATAAAATAACAATTCTTACTTATTATTAAACTTATTGCTCAAAGGGAACACTCTCCAACATAGTAAATCACATTGTCAGGCATACATTTAAGCAGTGTAGAATTTCCACTGTATCGTTATAACATTTTGTAGGAAATTCTATCTCTTGGTATTATTAATTTCTCCATTTTTAGGAGTCCTGTGCTGGAAGAGATACCGTATTTTCCGGCGTATATGACAACTCGGCATATAAGATGACCACCGACTTTGGAGATGATTTGCATGCTTAGAAAGTCGTCTTATACGCCAGAAAATACGGTAAGTAAGTGTCCAATGTATCTTTAACAGTTAACATTGGGGCATACACTTTCTAGGTTGCAGTAAGTATTCTGTTGATGTATAACAGAGAACCTGTACAGGTAGTCCTTGACTTACGACCACAACTGAGTTGAAAATTGCTGTTATTAAGTGAGACAGTTGTTAAGTGAGATTTGCCTCAGTTTATGACCTTTCTTGCCACAGTTGTTAAAGTGAATCACTGCAGTGGTTAAGTTAGTAACACGGTTGTAAAGTGAATCTGGTTTCCCATTGAGTTTGCATATCAAAAGGTCACAAAAGATGATCACATGACCCCGAGACACTGCAACCATCATAAATATGAGTCAATTGCCAAGCATTCAAATTTTGATCACATGACCATGGGGATGGTGCAAAGGCTTTGTGAAAAAATAGTCATAAGTCACATTTTTCAATGCTGTTGTATCTTTGAATGATCACTAAACAAATAGTTATAAGTTCAGAACTACTTGTATTCTTCTAGACATGGTCATATTCTCCATTATCTGGAAGCGCACAGCCTCACCATCCAGGTCGGTCATAAAATAATGCAAGCAAGGCATGAGACATAAATAATATCTAGCCCAAACCCTCTCCAAATGGATAAATCAGCACAATGGTGAAGGAAAATATTCTAAAAGAAACAAATACATCATGTTGTGAATCATCAACTCTCAGTTCTATTTCAACTTGATAATACTAAAAATGTTTAGAAATTCCAAGCTTTTCAAAATATTCTTCCAAAATATGGAAATGTTTCAATGTACAGAGCCCACTAATTTCTTTTATTAGAAATAAAATACAAAGAAAGGCTTTAAGGTTATGAAAATACATTGATATTACTGCACAGATTTGTACACTTCCAGCATATATCTTACATTTAGAATATATTTTTAAATTTATTTACCTCTCCAAGATAGCATATTTGTTTATGTGCAACTTCAACAAAAACTTCTATGATGAGGTTAACAGTCTCTGGTGTATTCTTGTACACTTCCATTAGTCCAATGCAATTTGTAAGAAAGTCCATCAGAAAATTAAAAAGAATTGCTACATTGTCTATTTGGGTAGCCTCAGCAATACCACAAAGTGCTTCTAAGGTGGCAGTGATTTCCTGTTTCACCTCCTCTTCCTGGCAGATTTGTTGGAAGTTTTCTTGGTTTATCACATTTAAGAATCGTTGTTGCAGTGGCTGAAGAACCTGCAAAATAAAAATAAAAGGAAGTATACTGTAGCTTCCCTGCAGAAGCTAAAGATGCAGACAAAAATATTTTGACCCAAAGATTTTTCATGTAAATACATTTAACTTGGATAACAGTATTTTTTATATACAGTATAACACAGCCTAGAAGTTTAGGATTGATCACAGAAGCATTGCTTCAGTTCTAAATAAGTTGGCAATGGCAGTTTCTAAATATGCTAAATAAATAAGCAAATAAGTAACTAATTTATTTCTTGTTTGAATAGTATATATAAAACATACCCAGCCAAATGCTAAAGGAATACCCATTTTGAAAAAGCAGTACGAATGTAAAATTTTAAGCAAAAAATAAAAGTGCTGAGCTAACCCATTGCATAGTCTAAGTGACTCTTGGTGGGTAATAAACAAAAGCTATAAAACAAAAATACAATTAAAAACAGGGTTAAAAAATAGAATAAAAACAAGTTAAAAGGCAGAGGGGGAGCATCTTCAAATTGATTTTAAAGAGTAAGGTGTTTTAACAGGTAGTAAATGTCCATAGCAAAATGTCTATGGAGATTCTCAACCAGCTCAGGAATTCTGGGAGTTGAGTCCACGAGTCATAAAAGAGCCAAGGTTGCCTACCCCGATTAAGGTCATGGTTGTCTCAAAGGTGCTTTTTTCAAAAGGCAACTGGACTTTCTTAATTTTTTTTCTTTTGTTCCTTCAGTCGGAAATGAAGAAGCTTCTTGCATGAGAAATGAAAGGTTTTCAAGAAAACAAAAAGAAAAAAAAAAACTAAGAAAGTCCAGTTGCCTTTGAAAAAGCATCTTTGGGACATCCACAGCAAAATTGGATTGAAAAATGCTATGGGGCTAGTGGGATTATTTTAAACAATTGTGGAAGAGATGTGTGGGAGAAACTGAGTCACAACAGAACAGCTGTCTATGGGAGTGGTAGAGGAGTCATGTCATTTTTTGCTCTTTTAAAACATCATGAGCGCCCTAGGCCTGCAAAACCTGATAAGCGTGGTTCAAATTCTTTTATGTTGACATGTCCTATCTGGTTTTGTATAATATTTTGTTTGCCAAAAGGGCTCATTATCCATTGTAAAATTTTACAACTAGCTGTTTCTGGCTCAAGAATATAAGCCTTGTTTTTGCAGCTACATTTTTAAACACATGCCTCATACTATTTTGAAGAGTCATTTTTGAAAAGCTTCCTTGAAGAAGAAACGGGACTTGTTGATTAAGAAATATTACATGCTTAAATCCTGGAAGACAATGGAACATGTCTATAGCTAAAATGAAGAAAAAAACTATTTTTTTTCAAAGTATTGCTCTAATTTTTTCTTTTCTCTACACGTGTGTGACTGTTCACATGCATGTGTTTATGCAGAAGAGCTATGTTTGGCAAAACAAGGCCTTTGCTAAACAGCTAAAGCAGGGGAACAAAAGAGATGGAGAATATGGATGAAATGCATCCTTTCCGATCCATTCAATTTTCCCCTTGCAGCAGCCACGTCCTTGTATTAATGGTTCACAATCCTCTAGAACATGGGACTGCTTTGCTAGACCCTGTAGAATGATCATTCTGAGGTCTTCAGAATAATGCCCTGTGAGGCCACTGACACTTCCCAACACAGTATATTAGGCACCCTCTCAAAACATCTTCTAAAGCAGGGGTGTCAAACTCAATTTCATTGACGGCTGCATCAGTATTGCGGTTGCCCTCGGGGGGCCAGGTGGGTGTGGCCAGGGTGGGTGCGGTCTACAGGGTGGGTGTGGATGGAGTGGGTGTGGCCTACTGGGTGGGCATGGTCAGCTCTACATCGTTCGCGTCAAGGGTGCCTATGGAGGCCTGGGCAGGAGTGGGACAGATCTGAGGGTCTCTGGCAGAAGGTGGTGGGACCGGGGCAAGCGCCAAGGCATGGTGCATTTCTTCATTCCTCACAAAGGGTGACACCTCCCCAGCATGCACCCAGGGGGCGGGGCTGACACAGCAGGGGCTGGTTCCTCGCTGTTTCTAGACGGCCTTGTGGAGCTAAGACTGAATGTGTTTCAGCATCGGCTGGCCTGGGCCAGGGCCAAGGCAGTGGGGGCCATTCCCTCACTGTTTCCAGGATGGCTTCGTGGGCCACATGAAACCACTTCGCGAGCCGCATCCGGCCCCCGGGCCTTGTGTTTGACATGTCTGTTCTAAAGCAATATCTCTTGACTTCAGCATCTTTTAAGATGTGTGAACTTCAACTTCTCGGAGTTGAAGTCAATGCATCTTAAAGTTGCGGAGGTTGAGAAATAAGGATGCAGATGAATGACTCAGTGGAGACAGGAGCAGCCTTGAACTGTGGAGAGAAAATGATGGGTATTCAATGGGCTGCTTTTATTTAAATAAGTTTCTTTTTCTGCATAACAGCAAAAAAAGTTTCTAAAATATACAGAATCAATAAATATAACTAAGGGACATTGCACAAAATGAAAAAGAGGAAAAAATAAAATAAAAAAGAAAGTCAGAGATAAGTTATTATGGTTACATTTCATTTGTTTAATATTTGTTATTCTAAATCCAGAACATTTTTTCATGGAATTTTATGAAACTTTGGTAGCACAATGCCCAACATTAGAACTTTAATTTTCAACAATAAAAATAAAAGAATGACTTATAAAGTATTTAAATATATTAAGTCAACAATACAATTATTGTTGCATTCAAATTATAAGAATTAGTATTATTGCAGTTCAAAATAATATATCCTATAATTCCCCAGTCTAGAATCAAAAATAAAGTTGGCAGCAGATTTCTTTCCTTATCCCCGAGTAACAAATTTCTGGTAATAAATGATATGAAAATATATAGAAAAGTATCTATTTTGAGAGTGTACAGCTATACACCACCAATATCTTTTCTATGCATACATTTAACCTCTGCATATGCAAAAAGTGTTCTTTCATTTTAACGTTAAGTAACAGTACACTGCTTATAGATTATCTAAAAAACTTTGTGAAATAAGCTACATTGCAAGTAATAACGTAGCATTAGATATATCGAGAACCAGTTCACTGTAGCAGTTAAGACCCAAAGGTGCTTTTTCAAGAGGCAACTGGACTTTCTTGTTTTTCTTTAAAGATGTTTTGCTTCTTATCCAAGAAGCTTCTTCAACTCTGACTGGATGGTGGAGAATGGAAGGATTGATATTCCTTGCAGACAGCTGGTCATTTGCATTCTTTTAGACAGTCATTGAGGCCACTTGGAGGTTTATCTGTGTCCTCAAGGTCACCTAAGTAGTGCAAATGGGTGTGTAGACTGGAGAGAGATGATGTCATATCCCTTCCCCTCTGCTGACTCTCTAAAACAGTAGTTCTCAACCTGTGGGTCGGGACCCCATTTGGGGTCGAATGACCATTTCACGGAGGTCGCCAAACAACACAGTCCGCCATTTTTCCCCCCTTTTCCTTAGCTGTGCTACTCCCTTTTATTCTATTGGCTTTTGAAAGCCAATAGAATAGATTCTCTTGAATAGAATCTAATTCTATTGGCTTTCAAAAGCCAATAGGAATTGTCCAGGCTGTCTCTGCCCTGCTGAGTCCGCCAAAAGTCCCATTCTGCAAACGGTGTTGCACCAGTTGAGTAGTCCTCAACTTACGACCGGTTGAGTAGTCCTCGACTTACGACTGGTTGAGGGGTCGCGGCATTAAAAAGGTTGAGAACCACTGCTCTAAAAGAATGTAATTGACCAGCTGTCTGCAAGGAATATAAATCCTTTCTTTCCCAACAATTCAGTCAGAGCTGAAGAAGCTTCTTGGATGAGAAGCGAAATGTCTTCTAAGAAAAACAAGAAATCCAGTTGCCTCTTGAAAAAGCACCTTTGGGACAACCAGGACCTGGATGATTGAGAATCTCCCTAGACATATAGCAGTTAAGATATCAGGCTAGAAACCAGGAGTCCTGCCTTAGGCCCAAAGGCAGCTGGGTGACGTTGGGCCAGTCACTCTCTTTCAGCCTTAGGAAGAAGGCAATGGCAAACTACTTCTGAAAAACCTTGTCAAGAAAACTGCAAGGACAAGTTCAGGCAGTCATCAAGAATTAGAAACTGACTCAAAGGCATGCATACATTCCCAAATAATACAATGCTAGTGAGTAATTGATGCTCTAACTTTTTTATATATAAAATAAGTTAAAAAAGGATTTTTTTAAGTCAACAAGAAAAACAAATCAAGACTATGGAATGCCAAACTCTCACTTGCTGATCCCAATTTTGGAAACAGAAATTGTACTTACTTCTGTCCAGTACTGTTGTTTGGTATCTCCATCCATATGAGCAAAACCTCCAAGAACTAAGGCTTTCATTAACGTACGTTGCACTGAACTGGATAGAATGTGAAGAGGGGGATTCCGTCTGGCAAACTGTTTTGCTAAGTTCCACCAGTTTTCACACTGAATTACTAAATTTGCCCTTACGGAAAGACATTGAAACACAATAAATAACAATGCAATAGCCTGGAACAGTTAAATAAAAGCAGCTTTCTTCCAGATAAAAATTTAAACAGACTCTTAACAAATGAATAATACTCTAATAACATGGTGTGTGCTGGCACTAGTATTAAGAGTCATCATCAAAACTCTTTCCCTTCGATTTGTTCATGAATAGAAAGAGGAGAAGAATAATTTATTGATTATAAATTATTGCCCACGATATTCTTCTTTTGGGAAATTAAACCTGAACTAGCTATAGCAGATATTCTGTACTTATATATAAGCACAGGTTAAAAGTGACATTTATAAGTGAGCTTCGGAAGTGCCATTTCTATTTGATAATATGAAGCGATCGGTTTCTGGAAGAAGTTAACAGTAAACTGAAGTTCAGCAAATTGTCTTTTTAATTCTTAGTGTTGATCAGATCAAAGTAATTATTACAATCATGTTCCATGCCTTGGAAATAAGTATGGTATCTTAACAATGGTAGCTTAGCACTTGACTCATCAAGCTTCTGAAAAGAATCATTTTGTAAATGAGGTATGAGTTCGAGCCCTTAAATAACAGGTAGTCCTCAACTTATGGCCAGTCTTTTAAAGATCTTTTGAAATTACGACTGGCCTGGAACAAGTGCAAGTGTTGCAATGTCATGTGGTCACATGACCAATTGTGACTTTTTTCTAGTTTCCACCCATTTGGAAAATGGGTTGCTCTTATGATGGTGCGGCATTCACTTAATGACCTCTGCAAAAATGTTGTAAAATTGGGTCCAGTCAGGTGGGATCTCAACTTACAACTGACTTATGATTGGAAATCCAGCCCCAATTGCTTTTGTAAGTCAAGGACTACCTGCAATACAGTTCGTTCAAGCAATATCAACTTATTGGGTAGTAAAAACACTTCCAACCATTTTAATCTCTATTTACCTCAATATATGCCTAAAACTCTTTTGAAGTAGTTCAAACATGTATCTTTACAACATACTTTTGATGGGCAGGCAATCTATATTGTGAATGTATCCCAGATGCACGCTGGTTATGTGATCTGTCCTCAAAAGATACAAATTTGGAATTTTAAACTCTATTAAAAGTTTAACATATGTACTTTCTACTTAATCCCACTCAACCCATGAAAAATAAATATAAAAATATTTCATCTATCTGCCTTCCAGATAGATGGCACTAGGTAGTTGTTTCAGTTCTATTAATGCTTCCTCACAGCTACAATATATATATGTTCACAAGTCTATTAACATCTAATTTGGTCTAGAAATTCTCAGTTGGGATTCTTAGAAAGGCATTTATTTTTTCATCTAGGAGTATAGCTTTTAGGCTTACCTCTCTCTCCTTTCTACCAAAGTTACTAGTAGCTGCACAGTGTCATTGGCAAGATCTTGCTCAGAACTCCACACTGCAAGATTGCTGATTACTTTTTCTAAAAGGTAGCCCACAATCCATTGGGCACCCTCAGTGTCAGCACCAAATGCGGTGTTGAATGGCAAGCTTATCTAAAAAAAAAAGTTAATATTTATGAATGCCATAGAATGTAGTACAGTATATTGATAAGAACATGGTCTAACGTCTAAGCTTTCTTTTGTTTATACCATATATTTGATCTGTGGATTGTAAGTTAAAAATACATGTCTGTTTTGTTCAAAAATGCATTAGGAATAAAATAAGTGAAGGCACATACAGATTTAATAGCTAGATCCATTATGGCAGGGGTTCCCAATCCCCAGGCCACAGACTAGCACCAGTTTGCAGCCCCCCAGGAACCGGGCCACACAAGTGAGAGAAGCCCCATTGCAAGTGAAGGATCCAGGCAGCAAATAAAACCATGCCCCCCCCCGGTCCACAGAAAAACTGCCCTACGTGGAACTGGTCCCTGGCGCCCAAAAGGTTGGGGTCAGCTACATTATGGTGTTTCTACATACATGCACCTAGTAATTTTAGAGGAATATAGCTGGTCCACACATGTAGCAGAAGCGGATGAGAAATCATAAAAATGGTGTGTTACTTTGAATATTTTTCCCCATATATAAATTCCCTAAAAGCCATTCTAGTTTATTATTTATAAGGAATATCACAAAAGCATACCAAAGAATAATTCTCCCATTGCATTATATAACAAGACTTTTTTTTGTTTCATTTTCTTTTCCTTTCATTGTACTTTTAGATCAGATCATACTTATTTAAGTACTGCAATGAATAAGCTCATGCCATTCGTTGCAAAATCTCAGAATTTAGAATAGAATAGAACTGGAAGTGACCTTGGAGGTCTTCTAGTCCATCCCCGTTTAAGCAGGAGACCCTATTCATGTTTTAAGAAATTTGAAATTAAATGTAAAAATGTCCACAAGTTTAAAATTGTTTTACCTGGTCATATAGTTTTTCATCTACGAGGAGATAGGTTTTTGCCCACCGTTTGAGGAACCACACAATATCTTTTCCCATCTGCGGGCTCAGAAGGTACGTAAGATCTGCTCTTATTGCTCGAGACTCCACTTCCGAAACTCTTAGAACAGAAGACAATAACCTGAAGAAAATTAAAGATACTGTGACTTTCCCCTAGCACTCACTGATGTTCATTTATGCTTAAACACACAAAACCCTTAGGTTTTTTTTTTTTTTTTTTTTTTTTTTTTTTTTAGGTTTTATCAGCTTCACCATTTCTTCCAATAGAAAACATTGTTTTCTGTTTGGAATACTAAGTTTTCCAAGTATTCACTCTTTTAGCCACTGAATTCCTACTTTATTATTATTTACTATTATTATATACTGCCCATTCTTTACCTTAGAGGCTAGTATGAAAATCCTCAATTGTTAATTTAGAAATCTCAGGTTAGTGTTGCAGGAAGAACTAATTCTCCAAGATTAATACAACAAGCCTGCTTAGAGTATTTGAAATTCTTATTGAGACTTTATACCAGTTAATATTATAACTCTTCAGCCCAAGACTAGTTTAATATTGCTGAAGAGTTTTCCAAGACACAGCACTGGTTTTCAGTTATTTAATCCCTGAAGAAGCACGTTAGCCCAAAGAAAACAGTCTCTTCAGAGGACAGTTATTTTGGAGAAAAGGAACCCCAAAGTGCAAGATTACTTCCTATTTACATACTCTGAGGCAGCCTAGTTGGGATAGATTTTTAACTCATAAACCTGGGGAACTCTAACCAAATAGAAGGCAGTGCTGGGCTGGTAGTTTGATACCTTAGAAATTTATTTCTTAGTATCACTAAAGATATGTCCGCAGCCACTACCATATAACTTCTATTTAGTCAATACATGTATGCATGAAAGAACTACTGAAAAACTTGCTATCCTGGTATGAAAAGTGGCTTATAAGTATCCTGGAAATGCAGAGAGTCTCAAATTTATCTTCTAAACAGTCAAACTATTTATTGCCATTTCCTTAAAATTTAAGAACTCTATGTCCATCTCTTCTTACTTTTAGCAGCTTGATCTTCAGATCTGCAGAAAATACTTATTCCTGCTAACATTTACAATATTACAGACCATGTATGGACTCAATGTAGCAGTTTTATTACAGCAAATAATAGAGACCATATGCATATTAATAAAGACCTTCTTTTTCTCTTATAAAACATTTTTTTAAAAAAACAAATGGATACTAAAAATTTAATTCAATATACTATGCTTTCTTATTGTGAGGTATTAGAAACAGGTATTTCTCTTTTAACAGAGTAAAACCCTTTAAAATACTCTCCTCAAAGTGCTCTGAATTTTTACTCAAAGACAAACAAATTAGTTGAGAATTTTAATTTTATTGACTTAGAAAATATTCTGTGACTTCATACTGGCTTACAAAATTGAATATGTTCTGGCAAATATATTTTGAATAGCTATTTCTGCCTTGCTCTAAGATATTTATTTTGATTTAAAGATGCACCTATGTCACATGCCTGTAAACATGTTCACAACAACTCATTTCATTTTCATTTAATAAGCAATGTACTTCCTTTGTCTGACACACAGCCCTCCAAAAGTGGTGTTTGTGTTATTCTTGCACCAACCCGCCCCCCGCCCAAAATTTCACTTATACCATAGTGCATCGTAAGGTTTGCTTAAAGCAAAAAACCTTAACTATTAAGGGTTTTTCCCCTCAGTCACTACACCTTAATTCTACAAAAAGCCTATTTAACTTTCTTTCACCAGTTCTGACATTCACATTGTTATCATGGATTAATAATTTACAATGATAGCCCTACCTACTTCTGATTTACGGTTCAATATTTGGCATTAAAATACTAAATTAATTACCTAATAACAGAATCGGTTCTGTTGTACCCTGGAATGGAAGAGGCCTTTTCTCCTGGAGATCCAAGAATTTGAAGCGTTGTATTGATGTCAACCTCAGTTGAATGCTTAATGGAATACTCCATTATTTCTGGAGGTATTAGCGGAGTCTCTCCCTGAGTATCATTAGCTAAGAGGTAGCCTTAAAATTAAAAGCAAACAAACAAAAAAAGAAAGTAGTGACCTCAGGTTACCTAGCCTAAATTAAATACTGCTTTAAGGGCCATCAAAGAGATGCTGAGAGAATTGGCATCAATATTTGGCTAAATTCGATGATATGCTTAAATTAAAACTTGCATTTATGTTACATAGTTCAATTTGGCTTTGTATTGGATTTCTACATGTCAGAATAAAGTCTATAAGCAGCTACAATTACTAGGGAGAAAGTAGCAAATAAAATTAAATTCACCTTAAATTCCATAACAAATATAATTTTAAAATAATACATCTCCTATGTTGGGCATCATGTCACTAATACTTTTTAAAGGTTTTTTGTATTTGCAGCCTAGGCTAGACAGAACCTCTTCAAAAAAAATCCTGTAAGACTGGCAGTTCTAACCAATTAATTCCTTCCAGAGGGTATACTGTATATAATAGCTAAAAATGCAGAGGAAGGTCTGAGAGAAATTACACAAATTTAAAGATCAAAACAATGTGTTGAGGGGGGGGGGGGCATGAAGAAAACCACCACACTCATACAAGGCCATTTTTCCTGACTTGAGTGTTGTGAAAATAAGGGTGCATCTATGTGTGTAAACTACACATACACAATTGATAGAAGAGCTAGTTTGTAATAGATTTGACAAAGGAACCTCCATTTTTAATGGAATCATCTCAACTGCCCTGCATGCAGAAGCCTTCTACTCACCTGTGACTAGAATAAGCCAATGAATATCCTCATACAAGTCATCAAGCACTTTACTGTCAATGGAGCTCGATCCAGCTGAACTTATTAATTGCTGATGCCTTTGTAACTGGCCATGAAGCCTTGTCACTCTGTCTTCTAACAAACTGATGGGAAACATTAAATAAGTTTATTAGTTATTTTTTTCACAATGAAGATGCAGTGAATGAAAATAGCAAAGGCGATGTCATGCGATATAAATGACTTGAGCTATACCTGATAAGAAGAGGTATACAGTGTTCAGCAGCAATTCTTCCTAACATGCCTATGCTGGCCAGCTGATCAGAAAATTGTTCTCTGTCATCCTCCTGCAGCTCACTTATTTCCTCCTCCTCCCTGGAAGCTACACCATTGGCAGTCTGAATTGGAAAGAGAATGCAAGCCTGTCACATTGTAAAAACTGATTTTCTAGAATTTGTTAATATTTTAAATAAAATAGATTAAAAACTGACCCATCATAAGCAAAGATAAGGTAATATGTCCAGGTGTCATTCAAGGTGAAAAAGTACAAATGTAGAAAAATATATACTGTAGATTTGCAGCTACTGCATGTCTCTTCTTTCTCTTTTTGCACAGTAACTGTGAGAGGGACCTTGGAGTCCTAATGGACAATCACTTAACTATGAGCCAGCAGTGTGCAGCAGCAAACAAAAAAGCTAATACAATCCTGGGTTGTATAAACAGAGGCACTGAATCAAGATTACGCGAAGTACTAGTACTGCTTTACAAAGCCGTAGTAAGATCACACGTGGAATACTGCAGTCAATTTTGATCACCATATCACAAGAAAGATGTTGAGAGTTTGGAAAAAAATTCAGAGAAGAGCAACTAAGATGATCAAAGGCCTGGAGGCTAAACCATACAAAGAACGGCTGCAGGACTTGGGTTTCGCTAGTCTAAAGAAAAGAAGAAATAGGGGAGACATGATAGCAGAGTTGTAGTATCTGAGGGGCTGCCACATGGCAGAGGGGGTCAGTTCTTTACCAGAGCACCAGAGGGAAGGACAAGAAACAATGGTTGAAAACTGAGCAAGGAGAGAAGCAACTTGAAATTAAGGAGAAATTTTCTGACAGTGAGGACAATCAACCAGTGGAACAGCTTACCCCCAGACATTGTGGGGACTCCATCACTGGAGATTTTTAAGAAGAGACTAGACCTGTCTGAGATAGTATAGGTTGTCCAAGGTCCCTTCCAGCTCTATTCTATTCTATTCTATTCTATTCTATTCTATTCTATTCTATTCTATTCTATTCTATTCTATTCTATTCTCCCATTGGCTGGGCGTGGCTGCAGTGGTAATGGCAGACTGGGTGGGACTAAAAAGTTCAGTCAATCAATTCCAACTTTGCAAGATCTTTTTTTCCCCACGAGAAGTTGAAATTGACTGATTGAACCTTTTTTTTTGCACATGGCGGCAGAGGCCTAAAGCGAAAAGGTTTTATAAAACCCAGCTGAAGGCCTAAGACTGGGGTGACGGCACACGTGCCCACAGAGAGGGCTCTGAGTGCCACCTCTGGCACCTGTGCCATAGGTTCACCACCACTGTTCTATATTCTATTCTATATTCTATTCTAATCAAAAATACAGGACTGCTTTATTGGATAGGACCAAAAGCACACCAAATTCAGCATTCCAATCCCACAGGGGCAAACCAGCTATCTGTGGAAAACCCTAAAATCGATTCTTCTGATCATGTTTCTTAATAATCGGCATACATATTGTTTAAGAGATGAGAGATAATAAATAGCCATAATGACTAAAAGTACAGGTTTTCTTCTCCACTAAACAGTCTATCTTGGTTTTAAAGCAATCTAAGTTGGCCCTCATTATACTTTGTGGAAGAAAATTCTGAAGTTACATAAAAATGTATGATGACAATCCTGCGATGTGAAGCTTCCTTCCTACTGGTAGTTATTACAGCTGAAGGTCCTAGTTCATGTTCATTTTGGTTTGTAAAATCAAGCTGAAATTCTGCTCAACTATATATAGGTGTATATATAGGGGGAGCAGGGGAAGATTGTTGACTGAGATCAGCTTAATCCAATTTTTTTAAAAAATGGGAGTCACTTCCTTCCTTCCAATGTTATTAGAAGCATCAATTCTCCAAACATTTTACAGTATTTAGAACAAAGAGGTTGCATCATCTCTGTGATGGAACTAATAACTAACGAACCATGAGAACACGGAGCACAGAGCAAAAGAGTTAAGGGAGGAAACAGGATCATTATAGAAAGTATTCTTGAATCCAGGGAAGGGGGAAACATGAGAAAAAAATTCAAAAGAGCCTAATTATACTACATATAGGTCAGTGGTGGCGAACCTATGGCACGGGTGCCAGAGGCGGCACTCAGAGCCCTCTCTGTGGGCACATGCGCCATCGCCCCAGTCCTAGGCCTTCAGCTGGGTTTTATAAAACCTTTTCGCTTTAGGCCTCCGCCGTTGTTGCCAAAAAAAAAAAAAAAAAGGTTCAATCAATCAGTCAATTTCAACTTCTCACAGGAAAAAAAATCTTGCAAAGTTGGAATTGATTGATTGAACTTTTTAGTCCCACCCAGTCTGCTGTTACCACCACAGCCACGCCCACACAATGGACCACGCCCACACAATGGGCCACACCCACCCAGCACCCGACGATGCATAAGTGGGGTTTGGGTTGCAGTTTGGGCACTCGGTCTCTAAAAGGTTCACCATCACTGATATAGGTCATGCAGGAAAATCAGTTTGGTAGGCTTTTAGAATTCTGTATAGGTCTTTCCAGAAATCCAAGTGGGTTTTGCTTTCTATGTTTGTCAGCTTCACACGTTTGACATTACACTTGTAAGCTCCCTTATTCTCTCTCATTAAAGAGGATTGGGCCCTGTGTTCAGGATCTAGACATGACTTCTGTCCTCAAGGTACTTCATTGGCTGATCAAATGGCAGAGGTGCTCCATTATAGAAAATTCAGGAGAAAGAGCTACAGTTTGCAAAGGGCAGTTATTACAGTATTTTGGGAAGGATTTACAAGGAGCAGCCCCACAGGCTGCTATGCAGATACTTATATTATGTTTCTATGCAGGTTTGCCAATGAAGTTGTGAGTGAAGGGGGAGCCAGGACCAATTCCTTACTTTCCCTATTCAGTTCAGCTGGGCAGAATTCCCTACAGACCAGACCAAAATGGCATTTGAAAGAGTGGGCAGATCAGCAGTACCACTCATTGAAATCAACATACTATATGAGATACCTATTAAAATTGTATGTAGATATTCAGAGCTGCTTTTGATGAGTCTACCTACACACGGGTGTCAAACTCGCTGCGTCATGTGACATTTGCAATGTATCGCGACTTATTTGTATTGCCGAAGCTGGGGTGGGCGTGGCCTCTGTATGATGCAACCGGCCCATGGGCCGGTAGTTTGACACCCTCTAGTTTGACACCTAGAGAGTGAGTACCAATTGGGAGATTAATAAATTATGACCTGGTAGATGCCAAACACATGACTATACAGCAGATTTTCAATTGTATGTGCTAGGACCATGTGCTAGAATGATTTTGCCCCAATCAACCAGCTTTGAGAAAGTCTCTCCTATTAACTGAAGATCAATTAGTATGACAAAGCACACCTTAGATTTTGGAAGAATTAGTTCAACATTGTATGATGGTTAATGGTAGGCGACATAGAGGAAATAACATTTTCTTCAACCTTCCTTTCCCCAAAATTGCCTTCTTGGATTCCAAGGTGTGAAGACCAAGGAAAGAAGGGACAATGAAGAGAACTACATTTGTAATAGAGAAACAAAAGGAGACCTTAGATCAGTGATGGCGAACCTTTTAGAGACTGAGTGCCCAAACTGCAACCCAAAACCCACTTATTTATCGCCGGGTGTCAGGTGGGCGTGGCCTACTGGGTAGACGTAGCTGTGGTGGTCATGGCAGATTAGGTGGGTGTGGCCAAGGTGGGCGTGATCAACTCAATGTAGCTCGTGGGGAGGGACGCCTACGGGGGCCGAGCAGGGTTGGGTGAGATCCAGAGGGTCTCTGGCAGGTGGGGTGGTGGGTTGAGGCTCATCCTGCTGGGTGAGGCAAGGCGAGGCAGGGCGGGGGTGCCACTATCCCAGGGCAAGGTGAGGCAGGGACCGGGGCAGCTGCTGCCTGACACCATTGGCCCCTGCACACAGAGGCCAGTGAGTACATCCGGCCATGTGAGACCTCGGCAAGTTAGTGGGCGGCTGGTTGGAGAGGGGCGGTTGCCATCTCCAGGGCATGGCAAACATGCCCGCAGAGAGGACTCTGAGTGGCGCCTCTGGCACGCCTGCCATAGGTTCGCCACCACTGCCTTAGATTGTTTTTAACCTCCCTAAGCTTCCATGCTTTGAATTGGCTGTAAAATATGACACCTTAACAGTTTTAGGACATCTTGAAAGTAAATGCCTGCAAACCTTGACTTTGGGAAATTCTGACACCAGGCAAATACATCAACTTAATAAACTATAAATAACAATTCTGAAGAGCATGCAATAAAGAGAGCACCTGCAGAAAGAGATCAAAGATGTACAGTGAATACAAGTACTAAGATCAAAGCTATGCTGTTTTAAGAATTGTTCTTTTTCTGAACCCTTAGAAAATCATCCATACATTTCTTAATTACAGGTAGTCTTCAAGGTACGAATGGCCATTTAATGACTGTTTGAAGTTATGAATGCACCCCAAATGTGGACTTAAGACAGGGGTTCAAAATTGCAACCAAAATGAAGCCGCTGGAGTCGTGTGTCCTGGATTCAGTTACTCCCAAAGCAGTGGCCATTTTAGTCCTATGTCTGCCCTGATCACCCACAATTACAACAGGTGATGTCTGAGGCCCATATAGATGGCACATTTTTTTCTCCTGGTCACATAACTAATGAAGATCCAGAGTCTTTGCAAAAGGAACTCAGTTTTTTTCCCCCTCCTCATTGCTGCCAGATGGAGGACTAGAAGAGTGAATCTTTCACTGCTGGCCTTGTTGCTTCTTTCATTGCTGTTGCCTTGAGGACTGCAGTAGTGTGGTTTCCTTTGTAAATACTTTAAAATTTTCTTTTTCATTATGGTATGATCTTGTTTGTAACTACTTTACAAAGATAACCTTTTTTTTCATTACTGTGTTTGTTTGCATTTTGCTTTGGAATTGCTAGCACAAATATTAGCTGGCCTCTACGGAGAACTCTCTTAGTAAAGTTCCTTTGCATTCTACTCTACCAAATGTTTGTTTGCACGTAATTTGAGACTGCTAGCACAAAGATCCTTTGAACTCTACTGTACTGTGTTTGTTTGCTTTTGTTCTAAGCATTAGTGTGTACTACTGTAGATTGCTTGTAGAATAGTTGATGGGCAGGGGACAGTGGTTCCTTCTGGAGCAGTGTTTCTCAACCTTGACAATTTTAAGGCATGTGGACTTCAACTTCCAGAATTCCACAGCCAGCAATTCTGGGAGTTGAAGTCCACATGCCTTAAAATTATCAAGGTTGAGAAACACTGTTCTGGAGGCTCCACTTGGAGCCCTGAAAATTCAGCCCCTCCCCCTCCAGTTTAAGTCTGGGCACCTGCTTGGAGGTACTGCAGTTCAGAGGCAGAGGGGCTGCTTTGTCTTGCCAAAACAGCTGATGGCAGGTGACAAACAAAAGCAAACAGCAACTCTGATCTTTGTTTAACAACCTGTTCATTTGGTTAAAGAGTGCCACAAAAATGTTGTAAAAATGAGTCCAGTTCATTTTATGACAGTTTTGATTTACAATCCTAGTGGGCAGGCTCCATTAAGGTCATACCTTGAGGAATATCTACACTTGAAGTGGAACTAGAGTTTTTTTTTCTTTTTTAAATGCACAACATCCAAGAAGTCAATTTTTAACCTCCTTTGTAACAAACCATTTCCTTCTTTGCTCACCACTTACAAATTCTGCTTACTGCTGCCTTCCAAACCCAAGTGAGACGTTAATCATGCTGAGTTCCATGGAATGCCCAAAGTAGATTTTCAGACCAACTGCTTGCCAATTCGCCGCGCCCAACTCACCACAGCACAACTTGCCATGTCCCACTCACCCTGGGACAAATCACTGCGGGACATGAGTTACAGTAATATCGAAGAACTGGTGGAATAGAATTATTAAAGAAAGGATGCAAAAGGAGGGATAAAATGAAATGTGAACGACCAAAATCGAAATAATTTTTAAAATTATTTTAAATGATTAAACTGAATTGTTAAATTGTCTCATGGCAAGTTGTCGCATGGTGAATTGGCAAGTTGTCCTGCAGCGAGTTGGCTGAGGCGAGTTGTCCCATTCTGAACTGTTAAAGGGGAAACTGCATATGACAGGGGAAGGCTGCTAATGTATAGTTCATTTACAATTCTTCAAAAGTACAGCTTGGAAGTATAGCTTTTTTAGGGACTTAAGCATTTTTAGAAACTGAGCCAGTCACAGAAACTGCGGAGGACATAAATGCTCATGATTTTATCATTCCAGTGCTCAAAAATAAGATTCCTATTTCTAGTTCACGATAAATCTGAGAACATAAAAAAAAATTAAAAACAACAATATACATTTCCTGCAACCTTGGGGAAACAACTCCTGATCAGTATTTCAATGAAACAATTAAAATGAAGACATTACCTTTACTTTAGAGCAGGGGTGTCAAACTCGCAATGTCATGTGACACGTCGCGACATTTCATGATTTTTTTTCCATTGCTAGCAATGGGGTGGGCACAGTTTTGCCATGATGCATCTGGCCCACGGGCCGCCAGTTTGACACCCCTGCTTTAGAGCATTTAAAGACTATAGTGTGTTTCCTGCGCCAGTATCATTATCATCAACAGTAGAACTAAGGTCCCCAATTAACAGGTCCTCAGACCTATCCTATGTCATCCTCCAGAACCCACTGATTTGTGGCGGTTGTACTTATTGTAACAACTGTATTTTAAAAAGGCAAGCCCTCCCCCATGGCAGTCCTGGCACTACCATATACTCCTACCCTCCATGGCAGTCCTGGCACTACCATATACTCCTACCCTCCCAAATATGGTCATTAACAAGAATCCTTTAACATTAACCAAGACTCCTGCAAAAGCACTCTGCAGCATTGTGCTTTGTTGAATGCATTAGATTTTAATAATAAAGCTGATTACTGCAAAACAGAGAATCAAGAGTGCATAATTATTTTTTAATTATCAACTCAAAATTACCATATTTTTCAACTGGGATAATTCAGGCTTTTTCCCCCCACAGCAAAAAAACAAAAACAAAACTTAAAATCCCATCTAAAATCATTGCAGATTTCTTAACCAGGATCCTGGAACCTAAAACCAAGCCATCCTTTCATCTTTTAAGAGGCTCTTTCAATCCTCTTCCCTTGATTCCACAACCCAATAATGTTCTTAATAGATTCAATGCCACAGCTGTCTATGGAAAGTGCTTCTTGTTTGGAAAAAACTAGCTCCTGCTTTCATATTGAAAAGCCAGAAGTTTTTGTGTTGTCAGCTTCTAAGTATGGGGCATGGGGTTGAACTTATCTCAGTGAAATTAATGAATTATCTGTTCAAACAAATTATGCTGGGATTATCTAGTCACAACTCAAAGGCCTTAATTATGAAATATATTGGCTGGCACTTTGGCCACCATCAACCTAGTCACTGAGGACTTAGAGTTCGCAATCATCAATAAGTGTTCTTCACGCCCAAGATGAATGCTTGAACTATCATTAAATCCAATTTCAACAATCCAAAGCTGATACATAAATAGTGATCATTATACCATTACAGCCAAATTCTGGCTTTTCAGAATTATAGGTAACAAATCAAGAAAACTGGAGGAGTCAGTATGGAAGGAGGATGGTTTTAATTTTAATTATCTCATTGTGGTTAGACTCGTCACCCCCTGTCTTTGGCATTTTTTTTTATTGAAAATTTTTAAATTTTACAAAACAATACAGTTCCCTTCCCCAAGCCCCCCCAACCCTCCCATACCCTCCCCAGAGCTGAATACAGGCTTAATTAAAATTTTTCAAAAAATCTTAAAACAGATATAAACCATTAACAAGTCAAAATACATTAATTAAACAAATTGTGAAATAGTTAACAATAATATATATATATATAAAGACAAAAATACAAGGAAATACAAGAAAATAGGAAGAAAGAACAAAGAAAAAAGAAAGTAAAAAAAGAAAAAAAATCTATAAAATATCTTAAATTTTAAATATAGGTTATTGAAAAGCTAAATAATATTTTTTTATATCCAACTTGTGTTGTATGAAGTCTATCCATTTTTTCCATACCAAAAAATACTTCTCTTGCGATTGGTCTTTTAAGAAAGCCGAAATCTTTGCCATTTCCGCCAAATAAGAAACTTTAAAAAACCACTCTTGCAAAGTAGGCAAGGATTCCTTCTTCCAACATTGCTCTACTAACAACCTTGCCGGGCATTTTTAAAAGATCTTTTAAATAGAAATGACTGTATTTGAAACCTATTATGTAGAACTGTAAAGATAAATACATTTACTTCTACTGAACAGACAGGAAAATCAGGGCAGAAAGAACTACACCTCTCTCTCTCTCTCTCTCTCTCTCTCTCTCTCTCTCTCTCACACACACACACACACACACACACACACACACACACACACACTGGTTTAGCATGATTGTTCAATCTTGGTCAATACATTATTCATATTTATGTTTAAATAAATCAACTTTTCAATTATTCCACATCTCAAGATTTTCATAATTGCCTCTAGAACTTACCAAATTCCTTGTACCATCAGGAGCAGCTAAGTGGCACTGGATGTAAGAATTAAAAACCTGAACAGCATGCTGAGTGAAGAAGCCTTTGTGGAAATGTTTATCATCTTGTACCAAGGTAAGCCACGATTCCAAGAGCTTGTCGTATGCCTCCATATATACCATATCATCTTTGTCAAGCTAAAGAAATAAAGCAAAAATACTAATTATCCAAAAGTTGTCAGAGCTTTCATCAATATTTACTCAGTAAATTTGCAAGGATATTTTTTCCATTAGTTGTCTATTTACTTAATTCCAATTTTTATTTTGTGACAATAACTATTTTTTTTTCACTGTTTGCAATAGGCTTTTAGACTAACAGATAATTTACTGTGATTTGAACTCAGTACACCATAAGCCTTCAAAGAATCTAAACAGCTAGTGAACATCTGGAGTACTATATGATATTCCTTCCCATTAGCTGTGTCTCTACTCTCCTGCCAAAATGTTACACAAGTTCCCTCAAGCCTCTGGATCAATTTTGCAAGAATGAGAAAGGAAGTTTGGGTTGGGAAAAGAAGTCTCTTCCAGTAAATTGTTATTTTTAAAACTGGAAACAAAGGCTGATTGATAAATAGACATTACCGTGTACACATACACACTTAGAAAACATGTTTCTTTTATGCAAACTCAGAGGATTTAAAACAATTCAAACAGTTTACCTCCCAAATAAAAAGGTAAACCCTATAATAGCTCAAGAATAAATTATCAGAAAGTGTTCTTATGATAAAAATCACATTCTAACTAGGAAATATGAAGTTGATAGTTTTTTTAAACCTTTACCTGACACACCAAGATTACAGTGGCCAAGTAACCCGGCAGACTCTTCTCTTTTTTTATCAAATATGATCAGAGGTGAATGAGGGGGAATTTTTCTGCAAGTCTTATTTTTCTTTTATATGGCATCAGATATAAAGATATGAAGGGAAGAAACTAGAAAGTTTTTTCCAAACATTTTAATTGAAAAATTCATTTAAAAAAACTGGATCACAAATATTTCCTAATATGCTTTAAATTATTTATAAAGTGACAAGATATGAAAGAAATTAATCTGTATTTACACCAAAAAAATCTCTGACCCCTAATACAGAAGTTTTCAAATTTTTTTCAGGCTGAAGAAGCTGTAATTTAAAAATAAAATCTCTCATAATCCCTGATCTAACAACCAACAGTTGGCTGCATTTAAGTAACCTTTCCCCCCCTTAATCTCTCACAGAATCTTGTCAAACTCTAATGGGACCCCATAGTTCCATGGAACACCATTTGAAAATGCTGCTTTGAAAAGTTAAAAATATGCAGACAAGTCTTCCCTCTTCAGAAGTCCATGGAAACGATTAAAGCAAAAAGAGCAGAAGAAAGAATTGTGTATACTGATAGTCTTTTAGATTTACAACATTTCACATGACAAACGTGTTCTCTGATTCTTGTTAATTCTCTTTTTTGAAAAGCAATGCAGTAAATAACAAAATACAGTGAAGGGCAAAAATAGCTTTAATATACAGGACTTCAGTGTTGATGGCTTACTCTTTTTGTTAACTTTTTTCTTGCATTATTTAGGAATTATTAGTTTATAGATCTGTCTGTTACAGATATTGAGACTATTTTAAAGTACAGTAAATTCAATTCAAAAATGTATGAGTATTGTCTGAATAAACTATACTGTTGTATATTACATATCAAACATATATCTATAAGCAAACTAAATTATACAAAATTGATTTTTCAAAGCAAAAACAAAAAACAAAGCAACTGGGAAATAGTATTAGAAATTACTATTCTGAAAAGTACAAGAAAAGATCCAATTTTATTTCACTGTTTAAACATTTCTGCAAATTTTGTAACTATATACAGAAGAAATATGCAGTCTATGGGGTAAAGCTGACTAGGATGGCATGATTTTCCTGTGTGCACATTGCTTATATCAAATGTTTTTTATATTTGTTTCTTTTAAGGAATTTAAATTCATTTAAAAACTGAGAATCAGTTTAATGTAGTGCTGAGCTAGAAACTGGAAAACTATGAGTTCTAATCTCCCCTTAGGCACAAATGTCAACTGGTTTAACTTTTGAACAGTCACTTTTACCCAGGCCACCACATAAGGTTGTTGTTGTGAGGGAAATAGGAGGAGAGAATACCGAGTACCTCATGCTATCTTGACTTGTACAAAATAAAGGTGAGATATAAATAATAAATAAGAATTAAATTCTGCTTAAGCATTGGATTTGCTACAGTGCTAGAACTAATATCAGATACGTTCTAGATAATTAGTAACAGAGGTTTTTCACATCTTTACAAATCTGCTGCCACTGAAATTATTTTTTCTATTAATACTGACACATTAGCAAAAGCCATATAAAAAAAATAAATAAGTAACTCCCTGCATACTAGTTAATTCTACATATTGTTTAAACTAATGAACAAATAATAATTTCACATTGCATCCGTAGGGTAATGGAGCTTATGTATTAGATGTTAATTTCCAATAGTGAAGAGGCCACAACAGGCCCTTCCTAAAGAAGACTTTAGGAATAACTTACATCATTACTTCAAAGTTTCAGAGCTGGTGATATCAGCATGGTTCAGTTCACACATCCCACTGCTTGTTTTCTCAGTCAACATGACAAAACTTTTTCTAATGATTCTATGAGTGGAATGGTCTGGGGTAAATCTCCTGTTATACGGAGCTTTGGAACAGGCTCATGCTTCTGATTACAACAAAGCTCAGTGCAATGCAAAAATCCTTTGCTATTTAAGAAGAATGTGGGAAGATAATTGCCTGCTGCTATATGCTAGTAGAGGGCTGGGGACATTAGCCCCATGCTAACTGCTTTATGGAAATCTGTCAAAGGTGATGAGAAAAATTGAAATGCAATAGTAAAACTCACCCCCTTTTTTGGCTCCATTCAAAATCTATCACCCCACTATGTACTTAAATACACAAAGCAAAAATCAATACTGTAAAGCAGGAGCAAACTTTGTTATTTTTTAAAAAAATCTGTATAGTGTTGTCAGGATTAATAAAAACATTCCTTTAGTAATTCAAGATACAACCATGTGAAATATTGATAAATAAGGTGGAAAGCTAAGTTACTAGATTCTAGAACTATACAGAGTTCAGTTCTGGTTTGAAAAAACTATTTTCAATATCCAGAGGCACATACATTGTATTTATTTACAACTTCTTAAAGCAGCTACATCTTTTGCTGGACACAGATGGCTATATCCTCTGAAGTATCTATTTAGAATTGGATCTGAAGCATCACACATCTCTCCTAGATTGCAATGCACAGATATCCCATAAGCTTGTTGTTATCAATATGTAGCCAACCCATGGAAATATATCACTGACAAGCAATACTGGATAAATATTACAGTACCAGCACTTGCAATTGAAAAAATACATTAAGTCTATTGTATCATGTCTTCATATACCTAAAAAGAACACACATTTAAAACACTTTTGGGGCACAAGGACATACTGTGCCAGTATAAACCTACAAGGTATTAAGAACTGTCAATGCAGATTCCTCTGCAGGAAATATTATACCCATCTGGTGTTTGAGATACAGCCATATGTGCCAAAACCAAGAAACTAAAGGCCACAATGATTAAATATCTAAAATTAAATTCTAAAATTAAAAGCAAATATTCTTTCAGCATTGTGATAAGATGGCTTTCTGAATTTCTGAAGACAATGCATTCTAAATGGTGGTAATCATGATGAATTTCTGATATTTACATTTCATTCAAGGTACCAATCTCAAGACAAAATTCACAACTGTTCAAAAAATCCTTTTATTCCAATACATTAAAAAAATCCACTATTATAGTTTTGAAAGTGAACACCAGCACCAGATTAAGGAAATTAGTCTGCCCTGTCAAATTCACTCAGGAGATATACAGTAGATGCTCCGTCCATCAATTACTCTTGACCTGTTCTGCTCAATTTGAAAAGTGGAATAGTTTGAAATTCGTCTCTTACTCCTAAATCTTAATTTTACACAGCAAAAGCTGAAGACAATTCTGGAAGCCCAAACTAGATGTTACACAGATCGTATGTAGATCTCTTACTCTTACTCAGATGTTTGAAGATTTCATGAGCAGAAGATTATGGCATGAGAGTTGTATCAAAAAAAAGTGGAGAAGAATTAAGATATAAAATGTATGGGACATTGTAAAATAAAATGCAACATGAGAGAGATAGGGAGTGTGTTTTATAGGAAAGAACAATGAAATGAATAAAAACCCGATTAAGTTGGAGACCAAACACGGAAGCTAAGATTTTTAAAAAAGCCCACATTACCAGTTTTCATGCCTCACTCTTACTCAGTTTTGTATTTCTCTATAAATACAGTTATAACTATAAACCACTATACAGAAAAATCCTTATAATATGAACTCCAAAGTATGCAAATTTACTGATTTCTTTTCAGTTAATTGCTTTAACTTATACAGAATGAATAAAGGCAACAAAAATGTTCACATGTGGGAAATTATCCAATTCAACCTGATATATCCAATAATGTCCATATAATCCCCACACAAAATATTATAACAGAAACTAAAATGTATTAATTGGAGAAGCATTACGCCATCTCCAAACTTCATTTTTTCATGCTAATATCAAACAATATTATATTGAGGAAAATATCAGAATGCAACATAAATATGTGGTTCACTGCAGAACTGCCAACTCTGTATATAGTACATGCTCTAACTCAGGGTGATTTTGTACTTCATTAGGAGCCTTTAAACCAACCAAATTTCTTCATAAAACAGAATAGAACCACAGAAAAGGATGCAACTCACTGTAACCATTACAAATTAACTGAGTACTAAGGGAAAAAGTAGTGCCATAAGCGAGACGTTACATAAAACCAAAAGTATTTTAAAGTTTCAACATTTTGGAAGAACCTCATAAAAATAAAGTTGTTACTTACAACTTCTTCCAAGGCAGCACTTCTTCCAAAAGAGCAAGTGAGATGTGTGAGGCAGTTAACAAATGAAGAGAAAAGTTCATTTGGAATGGCTGTTAATATATTGCGAGGAAATACAGTGATCAAATTGCTGATTATACTGGATATGCCCACAGCTTCAGAATCTTCTATCTCAATCCTGTAGACAAAACATTTTTTTAAAAAAGAGAAAAGACCAATAACATTTTATTGTAAAATTTAAAAGCATTTCAGTATTGCTCAGAAAGATATCTTTATGTTGTAGTGCTATGCCGCTCTCCAAACAACAGAACGTAAGTCCCACCTCCCTTCCCCTGCTATCCCAAATTCTAGGAAGTAAGCATATTACCTACCCATTGATCGTATTGAGCAATCCCTCAATGAAGTGAGCCAAATAATCAACTTGAGAGCTTTCATCTGGAAAGACTGGCCCATGAAGAGAGGCTAGCTGGGCTAAACATTGCAGAGAGTCTTGTGCCATATCGGTGTCTTCTCTAATTTTTCGATGTACCTTTTCAGAAGTGAGAGGGTTAACACCACATGAGGAGGTGGGGAGAAGAAATAAGATGTTCTTTTACCATAATCACATGACACACTCCTAAAGAGCGTGAGCAAACGCACATGCACATCCCCCACATAAACAGCTTTTCCTAGTATCTCGTGTATTAGTAGTCATTCCTTGGTATGTATGCAAACTGCTACTTCAGTAGACCAACTCAAACAATCATATTAAATTAGTCAAAGCCCGGGACCTACCTACATGTTAAACTGTCTATGCATTTTAAGTCTTAGAGGGAAACAGTTGCCAGCCAGTCAGACATGCTGCTCCTTCTAAAAACAGAAATAATGACAGCCATCTCTATTATGCTAACTATGCCTGGGCTACAGTGCCTTGCTAAAGTTAGTCGACAAGTTCAATCAAGATTATATAGATGCTTCTTTAGCAGAGGTAAACACCAAACTCTCAAGAACCAAACACATTTCTTTGAACTAAAATCTTATAATTTTCCAAATCTCTTTATTCTCGATCTTATTGTTTCTGTCTACAAGACTGCTCTCCTTTTTGACACTAGCCTTCTTAAGGGATCCTCATAGATAATAAATCTCTCCTATAGATCAATCATTTATAGACTGAATATTTATAGCAAGTGTGGGCATCAAGAGATCAATCTTTAAAAGACAACCTTGGATGCACAACAGAATTTCTGAATTCAATATTCTGATATGCTTTTAGGATGTATTACTATAAAGTAATATGGGACAACTGTTTTCTCCTGGTTTAAACAAATTTAATATTTCAAATGGTATTATAATCTAACAAATACTAGTCTCACAATTTAAAGGTACACTAAATTAATATTTATTGTTATTATTACATTATTACATGCGCTTAACATGCTTTATGAACTGCTCACAATACATAGTGTTTAATAAATATATAAAACCTACAACAAAATACAATGCACAGTTGTCATACCTACAACAAAATACATAGTTGTTAAAATGGAGACTTTATATATTTTTATTTATAGAGAAATGTGAAGTTTAGCTTCACAAAAAACTAAAAGTTAATACCTACAAACTAGAATATATTCCCTAGATAATAATGAAAGGCACATGTAATTATTTTAAAAATTGAATTCACTACTGATTTTGTTGACAATCAAGAAATACATTTTTTAAATTGAGTTACAAATGCAGCAAATCAACTCTAAATGAGGGATTTATAAACATATGAAAGACATAGCTATTCTGGAGATTCAGTGAATAACATACAAATAAAATTATTAACCCCTATTCTATTAATATGGAGTTGATGTTTACTGGGGAACATGAAAACAATACCTAATCTAAAAAATAGTTTCTTTACCAGCAAGTAAAGGAATTTAACCTGAAGACTTGCCAATGAAGAATTATGTTAGAAAGGGTTAACCTGTAAACCTAAAAGCTATTTGCTTTAGGAGGTCCCAGCTGACAGTAGCAACTGTCTGGTTGTCTAGACAGCTGTTCATATTGTGTGCAGCTGTTAAGTGGTCTGCCAGCAAGTTTTTTTATTATTTTTTTGAAAATGCCTGAGCAAGATTAAAAATTTACAAGTAACTACATATCCATAACTAAATGTTTTGAAAAAATTAGCATGCTATATAAAAGCATTATTTTTTAAAAAATCTTAAACACATCCATTATTTTAGAAGCAATAACCCCAAATTCCAGCTATCTCATTCTAATTTATGGGGGAAAACAGTTGCTGTTTATCTTCCAAAAATAGATTACCTAAGGCAGTTGTCTAATGCTAAAAACGTGGTCAATCTCTCCATTAATTCACAGAAAATTATCATACCTTGGTGGAAAAAATTTACACTCATCATGTTGAAAAAGTGTATTGTTATTGCTATATAAGAGATGTATTTCCTATTAATTTTTATACGCTAAAAATGAGACATGGAGCAATTTCTATGTTGTCTAGATTTAATAATATATTATTAAATATATTAATTCTAGAATAATATTACATGGAGTTTTGTTAGTTTTAATTCATTCTAATTACTATTTTATTGTATTCTGAATTATTATTTGTTACATGTTGGTTCTATTTAACAAGTAAAATCCTTTTAAAATTCACACAGATTCTGAGCTTTTAAACACCTATTACTTTTATCTTGTTTGACACTGCTTCCTTATATTTTATTAAATTTGTTCCTCACCCTAACTTTTAGACCTAATATGATTGTTACACTATCTCTGCTATGCTTGGTTGTTGCTTCTGAATTTTTTCTTTGCTGGATATTGATCATAGTTAAATTTGGTTTTCCTTCTTCTGCATATTGAACTTGCAGATGACTGGACTGAACATTTCATGAAGAGCTCTTAACTCAAACACCACAGGTTGGTTCACATGAAATGCCACAAATTCTTACATAGAACTAAGATTCCAAAGGAAAAGCCATATGCATCAGGCAGGCACTCTTATGGTACATGCCAGAATAAACATAGGTTTCCTAAATGGAAACATTATCCATTAGGAAGTTGCCAAATGGGAAGCAGCTTTAAGCTCCCTTTAGTTTTGTTTTACTCTATTTGCACAGTCCCTAAGAGGAGAGCAGGCTTAGTTTAATTTGCTTTTACAATTAACTAGAGAAATTTTATTTGACCAGCAATACTGAAGAAATAGCTGAAAGATACCCAACAACCCTGTTCTGTTTAAATCACAACCATTATTAAATTAAATGAACACAATGCAGAGGAATTAATACAAACACCGACCGATTTAAAATGTTTAACCGGTTTTGCTGGTGAAGCATAGAGTATGATTTATGCAACTCTTACCTGAAGTCTTCCTACCACATCCAAGAGAGGGAAAAATCCAAGAACAATTTGAGAAAGAAGTGATGGGAGCTGTAGCTTTGTTGCTACTGAACTAGCAAAAGAGAACAATGGAACTTACTGTAAAGAAAAGCTCCATCACTCTGCTGTCCAGGAGGGTCTCACGCCAGGACTCTGTTGGCTTTAACATCACATTTTGTGAGGATTCAAACATAGCTATATAATGTCTGCCTAGTTGTCTGGTGTCAAGGTCAACAACAACATTCCAATTTGGCCTTCTTCTTTTTTTTTTAAATCCCTGATACAACAGGTCCCATTCAGAAAGAATGCAATGGAAACAAATTTTAAGCCTCTTCACATACACAGCATAATTCATGCATGAGGACAAGGAATAAAAGACATTGTACTGCAAAAAAGAACACCCTAGGAATGCCAGATAACAGTTTGATCACAATGACGAAACATTCCATAGTGGCGCAATCGTGTAATAATCATTCTAATGAGACAAGGAACAAAAATGATACCACATTCAACAGGTATCAAACCTGTCCGAAATATGCTTTGTATATTAAAATGCTTTTGGCTGGTTTTATCGGATGTTGCAGAGCAATTTAAGTCTTTGAAACCTACTAGCATATCCTACATACTTCAAAGGATTCAACTGAGTTTAGCTTCTTGTTAGATTAAAAAAATGTATCAATTACACATATGCATGCGTGTCTACACACTTCACAGCAGGGATAATGGATACATGGTTTAAATCTGGAACTTTATATCCCAACCTCATGCACACATGTCACACCAATTTTGATTGAGTTTCTTTACTTATAACTTTACATAGCAGCAGTCTTTAAAAGACAAAACATATGCTATGTTTCAGATAATACAAGGTAATCCTATAAAAAGCATATTAGTATACATAGAGAATCAATGTTAAAATACAAACATAATATCATTTTGTGCATTTACATTATGCACTACTCCAAAGTTGCAAAGCTAAAAATACTTAAAACATAGGGCAGTTGTCCAGAATGCATATGGATTTGCTATTCACTAAGTTACACATAAATCTGGTAAAAATAGTATATCTGAAAGAAGACAGGTTTAATTATCAGTCCGCCTAAATATTCATGTTCAGCTATTGGAGGATCTTAAAAGTTAACAACGAAACACAAATGAGTACATTACTGAATCTCATGTAACATTCCGATATTTATTTTGCTTAGTTGGGAGGAACAATGCCACACAGAACAATGGAATTCAGCTAGTTTTGTAATTAAATACTAATCATTCTAAAAATTAGATATAATAGTTTAAGCTTTAATGAACATTATTCACCTTTATATATTCACCATTATTCACCTTTTCCATTGACATAGTTGACTCCAAAACTGTTGCTAGTATAATTTTTGTTATACAACTTTCTTCTTAAAGCTGCTGCCCCAAATTTATGCCTAACGTTAGCTATCCAAAATTCAACTTTTTCACAAGCTTTAAGTTTTGCCCACAACACAGGCTGAGGCTTGGTTGAGCACATAGGGTGAATGAAATACTCTCTCCTTTTTTCCCCATTTCCCTCTCCTTTTGTTGTCTGTTTATATTTGACAGTAAATCTCTTGTGCACAGGGAACCTGTTCATTGCTTTGAAAAGCATCAAAGGCAATGCTTATTAAATAATGATAAAATAATAAATGCTTAGTAATAATGGCTCGGAGTCGATTACTCAGTTGTAAGTACATTTTTTCTATTAAAGTACATTATATTAAATGCTGATATACACACATGGAATTCAATTTAAAAATGCTGAAAATACAATTTTAATTTTGAATAAGGCAAGATAACATACAAATCCTGTAATAGCAATTGCTGGAGAAAAATTGATTCTGTAAGCCAAAGTTGTGTACCAGCTGCCAAAAAAGCCAACACAGTGCTAGGCTGCATTAACAGAGGGATAGAATCAAGATCACGTGAAGTGTTAATACCACTTTACAATGCCTTGGTAAGGCCACTCTGGGAATACTGCATTCAGTTTTGGTCACCGCCATGTAAAAAAGATGTTGAGACTCTAGAAAGAGTGCAGAGAAGAGCAACAAAGATGACTAGGACTGGAGGCTAAAACATATAAAGAACAGTTGCTGGAATTGGGTATGTCTATTTTAATGAAGAGAAGGACGAGGGGTGACATGATAGCAGTATTCCTATATCTCAGGGGTTGCCACAAAGAAGAGGGAGTCAAGCTATTCTCCAAAGCAGGACAAGAAGTGATGGATGGAAACTAATCAAGGAGAGAAGCAACCTAGAACTAAGGAGAAATTTCCTGACAGTCAGAACAATTAATCAGTGAAACAACCTGCCTCCAGAAGCTGTGAATGCTCCAACACTGGAAATTTTTAAGAAGAAATTGGACAACCATTTGTCAGAAATGGTATATAGGGTTTCCTGCCTAAGCAGGGGGTTGGACTAGAAGACCTCCAAGGTCCCTTCCAACTCTGTTATTCCATTCCATTCTGTTCTGTTCTAGTCTTCACTTTGACAGTTACAGCATTATACTTTCAATGCAGTTTAGCATTAAGGTTTGCATAAGCTGATCCCACCTCAAATTCCCTTTTAATTTATCTGTTTTCTGAAGAAGAAATAGAATCAGGAATTAGGAGTTACGAATGAAATCAGGGATTACTTGGGAAATTCACTCAAGCTGCAATGTAGTGGTTAAAGTATTAGACTAGGACTGAGGAGGCCCAGAGACAAGTCCACTTTCAGCCTTGGAAGCCCAATGGGTGATTCTGAGTCACACAAAACCCTCAGCCCAACCAAACTAAGAGGAATGTTACTGTGGGGGGGGGGGGGGAAGAATGAGGACTATGTGTCCGGCCTTGAGTTCCTGGAGGAAAGATAGCACAGGTAGTCCTTGAGTTACAATCACAACTGAGCCCAAAATTTACATTGCTAAATGAAACATTTGTTAAGTGAGTTAGCCCATTTTACGATTTTTCTTGCCACAGTTGTTTAGTGAATCATTCTATTTGTTAAGTTAGTAACACAGTTGTTAAGGGAATCACCCATTGACTTGCTTGTCATAAAGTTGAAAAAGGGGATCACTTGACCCCAGGACACTGCAACAGTCATAAATATGTAGTAGTTGCCATGCATCTGAATTTTGATCATGGGAAGCTGCAATGGTCCTAAGTGTGAAAAATGGTCATGTCACTTTTTTCAGTGCTGCTGTAACTTTGAACAGTCATTAAATGCACTGTTGTAAGTCACCTGTGTATGAATGTAACAAATAAACAATAAAATAAAGCCTGAACTGCAGGGAAACAGTCTCTTGCAGCATTGTCTCCCTTTAACCTGTATATAAGACATGTTGCCTATAATTCAGGAAGTAGTAAATGGCTATCATTAGCCACTGATGGTTGCATCCTTCATGAACTTGTCTTGTCCCTTTTTAAAGCCATCCAAATTAACAGCCATTACATCTGCTGGCAACAGATTCCACACTTTAATTATATAGTTTGTCAAAAAGAATTTTGTTCTGTTGATCTTGAATCTCCCCTAATTTAGGGGAATATCTACATAAAGCTTGTTTTTATAAACCTCTATTATTTTTCCCTTCACTGTCTTTTGTTCTAAACAATACCAAATGTAGTTTTTCTACATTAGGAAACTTTCCCAGCTTAAATTGTTTCGTTGGCATAAAGTAAGAAGATAAATCTCTAGACTTTTGATATGGCACAACAGTGCCCCCTAAAGTGTCTGATAAATTGGACCCACAGTTAGAAGCCAGAACAAAAACAATCCAGCTTTTGTTCCCTTAAAAAGCCATGTAATCCTTTTTAAGGGAACAAAAAAATAGATTGCATCTTTAGAATTATATCAAGAATTACTAAGATGGCTTTAATTGTTAAATAATTTTTTACTTGCTATCTAGATCCAGAACATCCAAAGTTGAGCATTCTGCTTTGTTGGACAAAACAATCTTCATAGAGAAAATGGCTTTCACTTTTTCTCTATGTTCTGTAGAACTGAAGATGGTACTAAAAAAAAGAGACAAAAAAGAGATAAATATACAGAGAAGTGGAACATATAAATATTCCATCAGGAGATCTAGATGCTACCTCTAACTAGATCTTTAGCTATGAACTGTGACAATTCATATGTTGACAGTCAGGATTTTATTCAAGAAAGTAGCAAGCATCTGATCAGCCTAGGCTATTTGGGTTGATCTTCTTCACAATTCTGTATATGTGTTCACTTTTTTGTTTACTTTTTCCTATATGCTATATTCCCTTTTCCCAATAAGTACACTTATAATAATATAAACTCTAAGCATTGATATAATAAGGGAATTTCTTGGGCTGGGCAGAAGTGAAAGTTTTTGACAGACCAGCCAAGAAGTTCCCAGCTTATAGACTAGGGGTGTCAAGGAGTTTAACCTAACTGGTAGCAGCCTAATGTACCGTATATGCCAGCGTATAAGGCGACTTCTGCGAGCGCTGAAATCGGCGCCAAAGACGGGGGTCATCTTATACGCCAAGTCGTCTTATACGCCGGAAATACTGGTAGTTTCCGGCGTATAAGACGACGTTCTAGGAATGCGGCTTGGCGATAAAAACGGGGGTCGTCTTATACACCGGGTCGTCTTGTACACCGGCATATACGGTAAAAGTTCTTTATTGGGGAACTCTTGGAAAAAGGGATCTGAAGGGAGATTTTAAACTATCCCCTCTCAGTTTACAATATACAATAGGCTATTTACCAGAAGTCATCATTTCTGATCCATTTTCTCTGCCTGTCTGCCTCTCTTTTAATGTCTCCTCAGACCTTTCTCCATGGGCTATTTCAGAAGTTTAAATTATGAGGAATGTGGCTTCTGCTTTTATGTAACTATCAAAGGACACACTTTGGAGAATAACTTTGCTTATTAGAATCGTAATAACAATAATAAATATGCTTTATGTTCGTATTATCCACCAAATTTTATTACACCGCATCTAGCTTTTTCATGTGCAGTGAAGTAGATTAGATATTCCTGGGTGAGAAAAGAATAAAGAAATGCATGACTCTATATATGCGCGTGTGTGCAGACACACACACACAAACCCTGGAATAATCACTATATCTACTTTCTGACAGCCTTCCAGATTTAAGACATTGCTTCTGCTTTATAGGATTCATATTGAAGCTGAGGTTTCACAGAATTCTGACAAACGATCAAAAGGATATAATTTGGAGGAAGAAAATTCCAGCTTAAGACCTGATTGGCTAGTGCAAGGTAACGCTGAAAGACCGAAGACATCTGAGCATTAAGATTTTCACGCCGGCTGAATTCCTGTAGTACCTCTACTGTGAGCATAAAAATCTGGCGGAGATCGTCCTCCTGTGCAGAATAAAGACAAGATGTTTTAATAATCTTTTAATTTTTCCATAATATAAACCAGTATGCAAGTCAAGTTAAACATTTCAGTTACAACTCTCAGATCAACCTAACTTCATCCCTCATGGACTGAATCTTTTACACAAAAATCATGCATTTGCTACTAAAATAACACTTAATTTTTTTTCATCTGAGAAGTTAGTTAATCATATATGAATCGTATCAAAAGATCATCTAGTCCAGTATGCCCTATCTTACAAGCCCATAGGAAATCCACAAAGAGGAAAAGGAGTGTAATTCCACAATCTACTCATGTGGCATTGCAACACATTGCCATTGCTATGCCTCTGCCTCTGAGCATGAAGCACTTCCTTTCTTTCTGTTCTGAATCACGCACCATTCAGGTTTGCTGATGACAAGAGCTTCTCTTAGTAGTTTGTCAAAAGAACTTAATTGTAGCCAACCTTTGCTTCTCATGGTGGTCAACCAATTGCTCCCATTATTACTCTCCTATAATTGGTATCCAAAGACATATTGCACTCAACCAGGAGGTAATGTTTTTCCAAACTAAAGTGTCCCAAATATTTTAGCCTTTTCTCCCATAAGGAAGGAATACAAGTCACTGGATATTTTTTGCACAGCTGCCACACACTACATTGATATCATCATTAACATTTACAAATTCATTTTTTTCATGATTAGTAGTACATATCTGGGTTTCATCAATGCACGTGTAAAATTAGGTGTCTTTGCCCAGTGTGAATTGCTTTACACTTCTTCAAATTGAAGTTCATTTACTCACTTTTTTCCTGAAGAGTTCCAAACAATATAAAACTGACATTATAAGCCTCAGCCTGTTAGCCTTCCGTAAAGCTTTAAAGACCTGGCTATGTTCCCAAGCCTTGAGTTCTACATGCACCAAGGGCCACACCTCCTGCCTATATTGTTAACAGGCCAGATTTCTTGTTTTGTATGTACTCGAATTAAGACATTTTAATATTGTTGAGTGTTTTAATGGTTTTTATTGTTTTCATTATTTTAAAATTTTTAAGATTTTAATTATAATATACGTTTCTGAATTGTTTGCTGCCCAGAGTTGTTTGCTGAAATCAAATCAACCAACCAACCAATCAACCAACCAACCAATCGTGTATATAGGCAGTTGATTTTTCCTTTTACACTGAACCAATTAATGACATTAAGTTTTCCAGGAATTTTTAGAGAGTTTTAACAAAAGGCTTTTGAAAAATCCACTAATGTTTCCATGACTAATAAATATTTTTGCTGACACTCAGGATATAGTTAATATAACAGGGTTCAGGATTTACTTTTAAAAGACAATTATTTACTTTTTCCTTTAGCTTATTTTTCTTTGATATGATAGATAATTCTATCTTTAATCATGCTTTCCAAATTTATTCAGAACAGATGTTAAATTTCTGGCATGTAACTTCCTTGATAATTCCTGAGTTCCATTCCAGTTCTCTAATACAAGTAGAATAATACTACATATTTTTCCTAGGAGATCAGCAATTTCACATGTTAATCCTTTAAAAACAGTTGGATGGACAGCATCTGGAATTAGTTATTTGGTTTCAGCTAATGATGTCAATTCCTTTTGTTTCCAAGGAATGTAAAGATGTTTTGTGGTTTTTAATTGCTAGATTTTTAAAAACTTCATTAATGGTATGGCTGCTCAAATGCTTTTTTTTGTTGTTTGTTTGTATTTAATTTATTCAAACTGTTCCTCTAAGCTCTTATAGAAGTAGCATTTAGACTTATATACTGGGGTCCCCAACCCCCGGTACGTGAACCAGTACTGAGCTGCGACATGCCAGCAACCGGTCTGCACAAACAAGCAAAATCCCATTCATGGGATGTAGGCAGCACACAAAACCACACACTCTCCAGTCAACAGAAAAAACTCTCCACAGAACCGGTCACTGGTGCCCAAAAGGTTGGGGACCTCTGTTATATAGTACTCCATAGTGCTTTACAGCATTCTCTGAGTAGTTTACAGTGTTAGCATATTGCCCCCAACCACCTGGGTCCTTATTTTACCAACCTCATAAAAATGGAAGGCTTGAGCCCATCAGGATCAATCTCCTGACTATGGGCAGAGTTAGCCTGCAATACTGCTTTCTAACCACTGCGCCACCATAGCTCTTATCATTTGGAAAGAATTCTACTCTCTGGACAGCTTTCCATTTTTATTTCTATAATTTTCTTGGTAGTACTTGCAACCTTTTCTTATGGTATTCATTGTAGTTCATCTGTTATTGCTTTCATTTGAGTAACTGTGGAAATATATGAGAAAGAAAGAAAAGTATCACATAGGCACCCCCCACACTTTCTAACCTGAAATTTAATTCCTTCTACATATTAGAATTACATCATTCTCTTCCATATGTCTGCAATGTCATCGATTTTTCCCTGTTCACATTGTTCTTGAAAACACAGAAACACATACCTGAAATATTAGTTTGCAATTGCCGTGAAATTCCATGCTTAATCCAATGTTACTGGTTTTACTTGAACTTGAGAACTCACTTAGCAATGCGGTTAAAATGGAACAGGCCAGAGTTTGCTGAGAAAATTTGATAAGAAAAAGATTTATTAGTTGAATAATTTATTATGTAAATTTTTATTATATCAGATCTTTTATCATTAAAAATGATAAATGTCACATCCATTCTCAGATTTGGATGTAGTCAAAAAAGCATTTGTTACTTGGTCTTGATATTGTTATTTTTGAACTCCATGGTAGTTTAAAGAATGTGGAGAAACTATTTTGTGCATAATATGCATTTCAGAGAATGCTTATTAATTCAGAAGTAGGGACATTCATCTATTTATTTAGCAATTCTGTATGGTGCCATGGTTACAATCTCCAGACATTGAAAAAAATGACAGTAATAAGAGTGAAACTCAAAAAAACAGCAATGCTTTAAACCACCCTATCTAGATGCCTACTCTCTCCAAAACTCTTTACAACAGTTCCATTTTCACCAGTTGTCAGAACACTGCCAAGGTTAGTGTCAAACTGGTATGTGGAAGGAAACTGTTCCATAGAGCAGGGACTATAATTGGAGAACACTGCTTCCAGCATCCTGCCATCCTCATCTCCCAAAATCAAAAGGATATTATTGAATTGATTCCATTTGGAAAAAAAACAGGTGCAAAGCTATATAGAGCTTTGTACGTTAAAATCAGCACTTTGAATTGCAACCATAAATCTACTAGAAGCCAGTGTAAGACTTTCCTCTTATCTGCCAAAGTGCAAGTCACCTCATTTTACAACAAGAGCAGTTTCTGAGCAGTATTTAATTGCAGTAATTTAGACATACTGTATGGTGATACAGGTGTGAGTTATCATGGCTGTTGCATGTTCTTTTTCTGAACTACCAGTAACCAGTTTGACCCAGACTCAATAGGCCAAAAGCACTGGAAACTTGGCAGTTGGTTGGGTTGTATCTCCCTTAGTGGATAACTTTTATTTTATCAAGGGAAAACTTACAAAGTTAAATTTGCCATTTATCTTTTTTAGTTACTACTTTTTCTGTCCTGTCACAGTATTTATTTTTTCTTCACCTTTTCTGCTTGTTTGTTTCTGGTCGGGCTTCTTGATTCTTCCCCTCTTCTTCTGAATGCTTATTTGTAAATGATAGAGGAAACAAAATAAATGACCCTTCCTTCCCAGTGAGAATCACTGGTGTCTCACATCATCAAAGTTGGCTATCATTTACTTTGTCTCTTTATTTGGCTCTAGGTAGGACTTTGGCTCTGTTCATTCAGCTTTTCTCACAAGTCTTGTGATGGCAGAGCTCCCAGGCAGCCATCTTCTCTTTTTCATTCCTTCTTGTTTGATTGGTGGCTGCTGTTTGATTGGCAGTTGAGTTGGCTTGATGATGCATGAGAGCCAAGAATGCAGGGGAAGGAAGGAACATGGGTGGAACCTTCCACAACGGCCAAATCTCTTAATCCACTAAATCAGAACTGGCACATCAACTAAAGCTGGGCAAAGACCACTCCCCTCCAGCCATGATAGAAAGCCATCCGCCAATTCTTTCAGGGGAAGCACTACCTATTAAAAGTACATGTGACAAAGAACCTCAATGAACAAATAGTAACTCCATCTTTCTATATTTCATTGGAGACAATCTCTCCAGCTACAAAAGCCCTAACAAGAACAGGCACTCCAAAAAGAGTGGAATCACTGTAATATAGTTCCCATTGCTTCCAATTTTCATAGACATTCCATAAAGATGCCATAATTGGTGATACCAAATGCTGCTGAGAGGGGGTACATTTTGAACTAAAATCAACAGGAATGTATGTATGTTTATGGCCTAATCTAGTACAGTATACAAATACTTTTAGACAAATAATTTACTAGGCAAGTAGCACAAATTATCTTTGGTCTGAAAACATTACTTTGGTCTGAAAACATTACCAATGTGTAAAGTCTTCATATTAATATTTACTGTTTATTGTACTTCCTATATTTGCAAAGTTTTATTAAGATTATGATATACTAGCAATAATCATGTATGAATTAAAAGTCTTTCATTGGTCTTGGGTGAATCATAGCACAAACACTATTATTAGAAGCATGCAAGTTTTAAAACTTCATTAGGTAGCACTGAATCATTAGGAGATTCCTCTCACCCCACCATAGGGAGTTCAAAACAGGATAGATCTCATTATTGAAGTTAATACTGGCAGGAAAGATCAGTTTAAACAGAACACTGTAGCTAGAAATATCCACTTTATAAGAAAATTATGGTTCATTTATTGACTGTATTTCTAAAGCAATGGATTAGATTTTATAGTACATTAGATTTTATAGTACATTTCAATCATTCCTATAAACTTGTCTATATGTGGGAGTCACATGCTGGGTCAGTCAAATCCTGCTTTTAGCTAACAAATTCTTAATGCATTCTTAATGAAATTTTAAAACTTTTGTGCTTAAATTAGTAGTAAAGGTTCCCCAAGAATAAAAGCATTTGCTACAGCTTTATTCTGAAAGTTAATAGGACTTATTTAGAATTAAGGCTAAATGCAAAGACAACCCCCACGCCCCCATATATACCACTAAATGTTTATACAGAATACTAGAGATCTGTGTAAGTTTAGTTGACCCTGAAAAACATATATATGAAACTGCCAAATACAAAGTATATAAATTTCCAGAATTATATAAATAATGCACAGGTTCTTCTTCCTCCAATATTATTTAAAGCTTAATTCTTAAGGTAAATTTTAAAGTATCAAACTAGTAAATGATTATTTCATAATGTCTAGCTCCTCCATACATTATGCAAAAGGTAGCTTGTTTTATATTTCTTACAATAGATGTAATACAATGGAAGTATACAACTATTGGCTTTATTCCTAGACTATTTGGAGCCAAGGTGCCACAGGCGGGCAGAGGAATAGGAATTGTTAAAGGGTCATGAATGCAGGCAAGCGTCCAGGGGTTAAACAGAAATATGCACACTACCTCTGAACCCCCGAAAGATTAAAGTTGTGATGATACTATTTATGCGAGGTCATGCAACAGCTGACAGTAGTGCCATCCACCCACCAACTGCAACATCTTTGTTCAGAAATGCCTCTGATGTCAATACCTTGACCCCACACACAAGCTAGTTATCACAGTCGCTATGTACAAAATTGATAGTCTTCTTTGCTATATAAATCCCAAACAGATAAAAAGAAAATTTTAGAAATTTATGTGAAATATATATATGCAAGCTGAATGTAATAGCTGATTTCCGTAATGATCCTGGACTCTCTAAGCCACAATAACACCAAAGTTTCATATTTATTTATTTATTTTACTTTTTATTAGATTTATACAGCTGCCAAATTCAAAAACATAAATTGCATAGCACCTGAGAGAAAAAGCATCATACAGTCAGTACAACCAGAAAACGTGCTTCATTATACACCCAGGGACCCTGGCTTAAGCACAGAACCAAGTCTTAAGGTCCAGCAAGGTTCGGGCCAATCATCAGATCTCTGGAGGGATTATATTCCAGAGAGTGGTTGCCATGACAAAAAAGGCTCTGCTCCTGGGCCCTGCCAAATGACACTCCCCAAAAGACGGGACCCAAAGCATGCCTATTCTGTCAGACCTGAAGGGATGAATAGAAACAATTGGGGAAGAGTGTCCCATAACTAACCCAGCCTAAACCACGAAGGGCTTTAAAGGTGACTACCAGAACTATGAATTGCACCCAGAAGCATATTGGGAGCAATGCGGTGTCACATGCATTGAGTAACAGGAGCCATTGCTATTTACGCCACCATAGTCTGGATTGGCTGAATGAGAATTTTATTTTCTTATTCTAGAAACATCTAGATCTAGAAACATATGCATTACGATATAGCTGACTATGGAATGATGAAGGGTTTCGATTGTACATGAACAGATAAAAAACTAAAGATAATAGAACTGTATAAGCTGCATTTCTAGTGTTGGAATGTTCCATTTCAGATGTCATAGAATTCTACAAAAATTAGAATAAAGATGGCCCCAAAATTGATTTTAATAACTGCCACTCATAGTGCAAATTTAATGAGTAACTACAGAGAGAACATCATCCAGTTAAGGGTGAGCCTATAAAACTGGTCTACTGCCTCACTTAGCAGAAATGTTATGAGTTCTACCACATGAACAAATTACATACTCAAACAATAACCCTGGTCTGACAACATAAAATATTTCTCTTGTTTGGAGAGTGGATTATTTCTTAGAATAGCCTGGCACTTACCCCAGTTGGGTAGTTATAAAAGTTTGCCATGCTTAAAAGAGACTTTCAGCTGCTCTAAGAGGAGATCAATCAGAATGTGCTAAGAGAGATTAACTGGGCAATCAGATACTCAGTGGAAGTTAAGCAGTCTTAGACAATCATTGTTTTTTTTTCCTTTTACTTTTTTTTAATAAACTCCCTCTAAAAGCTACTTCCCCATTAAAACAAAGAAACAAACAGAAAGTACAGCAATGCACTGAAAAATAGACAACACTGTGAATATTCCTGTATATTAGTGCATTCTTATAAAGGATGGTTCATGCCTTTAAAAAAGAATTTCATTTAAATTAAAAAATTAAAGCTATAATGAATGTTAGAATGGATTTCACACTTGTGACTGGGCGGTTGGTGGAAAACGTGCACCAGTATTTGAATGTGCTTAGATTACAGGGGATGAAAGGGATATAAGAGTTCAAAGAGTTTAGGAAAATATAGAGGCTAGTATACACCTGTCCAAAACTTAGAAATTGATCAGAGAATAAATTTCAGAGCTAAAACTGTTGTGTCTGCATCAGGCATTTGTGCTTCAGTCATCAGCATAAAAAGGAACATTTGGTTTAGACCAATTGCCTGTTCAAAAATTAACTTGAAACTTCAAAATCCATTAGGATGATCTTATCCTTTTCTATGCAGGAGAAAATATATTTATCTTTCTATCCACCGGAAACTGCAAAAGAATAATGCACTTTAGGCAAAGAGGTTGCACAGTTGTGTTTTCCTAGCCTATCAAGTTAATCCTACTGTCTTAAATCATTCTCAGATACTG